GACGGGATTTCACCATGTTAGCCAGGATGGTCTTGATCTCCTGACTTTGTGATCCGCCTGCCTCCGCCTCCCAAAGTGCTGGGATTACAGGCGTGAACCACTGCACCTGGCCCCCTATTAGTTTTTTTGAGGCCTCCCAAAGTGCTGGGATTACAGGCGTGAGCCGCCACGCCCGGCCCCCTGTTGGTTTTTTTTTAATGGCTTCACGTTCCTCCATCATATGAGTAGATTGCTGAGGGACACTGAGGTTGTTTACAATCATTTGCCATCCAGCCTCGGCAACATGGCAAAACCCCATCTCTACTAAAAATAAAAAAATTAGCCAGACGTAGTGACACATGCCTGTAGTCCAACTACTTGAGAGGCTGAGGTAGGAGGATCATCTGAGCCTAGGCAGGTCAAGGTTGCAGTGAGCTAAGATTCTGCCACTGCACTGCAGCCTGGGCAGCTGAATGAGAACCTGTCTCAAAAGAAACCACCATCACCAACAACAAAAAACCCAAAAAACAATCATTTGTTATTATAAACAAGTGATGTAGTGAATAACCTTGTACATATGCCCTTTTACAATTAAGCAAGTATATATTTGCCTTGCAGGATTCATTCCTAAAAGTGGAATAGTGGGTCAGAGGATATTTGTATTTCTAGTTATGTTAGAGGTTGCAAAATTACCCTCCTAGAGGGTATACCAGCAGTTTTAGAAATACTGTCTATATTTGATGGGACAAAAAAGGCTGTTTATAAGTTAAATTTCTGATAAAAATAGAGTCATAACTGTATTGGTGGTAAAGTAGTGTGACCTAAATCTTCATCTTTCATAGCAGGAGGTTTGTAATGAGTATCTTAAATGGATTGAGAAATAGTCAGAAAAGCATGTTATTTAGTGAGATGGAGGTAGTCAGTGGAAGAAGTGCTTGCGGCTTTTTTTTTTTTTTTTGGAGGCAGGGTCTTGCTCTGTCGCCCAGGCTGGAGTGCAGTGGCGCGATCTCAGCTCACTGCAGCCTCCTCCCAGGTTCAAGCAATTCTGTCACCCCAGCCTCCCGAGTAGCTGGGATTACAGGTGTACCACCATGCCCGGCTAATTTTTGTATTTTTAGTAGAGTCAGGGTTTCACCATGTTGGCCAGGCTGGTCTCAAACTCCTGACCTCAGGTGATTCACCCACCTCAGCCTCCCAAAGTGCTGGGACTACAGGCACAAGCCACTGCACCCGGCCAAGAAGTGCTTGCCACTTTTCATTTTAATCGGCTAACTTACCAATTTAAAACATGTGTACTTCTTATCATAAGCTTAAAAAAAGATAAAATCATCCCTGAAATCTTATGCTTTCTTCTCATCCCAGTTGCCAAAGCTCTGCAGGAATTTGACTTGGCCTTAAGAGGAAAGAAGAAAAGGAAGAAGTTTATGAAGGATGCCAAAAAAAAGGGGGAGATGACAGTGAGTGGCCTCCCTTTTGGAGTTTGGACCCACTTGGTGGGGTGGGTCAGAGTGGCCTGGTGTGTTCCACACTCACACCTCCCCACTCCCCCTAGGCAGAGGAAAGGTCCCAGTTTGAAATCCTCAAGGCGCAGATGTTTGCTGAACGGCTAGCGAAGAGGAATCGCAGAGCCAAGCGGGCCCGAGCAATGCCTGAGGAGGAGCCAGTGAGAGGTCCTGGTAGGTGAATGGGGAGCCCAAAGGAGCTTGTACGAAGGTTTTCCCTGAAACCTGTGCTTTGGGTCAGGGAGAAAATCTGAGGGATGACGACGATAGCCCACATGATTTGAGTAATTAGTATGTACCAATGTGTACAGCTATCCCTCCATTGGTGTAAGGGGTGCAGTGATCTTGTGGTTGGTAAGAACTAGGATTTGAACGCCAGCTTTTCTGACTCCGGAGCCTAAGGCCTTACCAGCTGCTACTTGGAGGATCTGGTGAGGACAGAATGAAGATAGTCTTTGGATGCCAGAGCATCCACTGAACTTGGAATCATTACCTTGAACTTAAGGGGATTTAGGAGCTTGGGCCAAAGACAACCATATGTAACCCATTCTCTCTGTGCACAGCCAAGAAGCAAAAGCAGGGGAAGAAATCTGTATTTGATGAAGAACTCACCAACACAAGCAAGAAGGCCCTGAAACAGTATCGAGCTGGGTAGGATTTTAAGTCATCATGGAGCCCTTGGTATTCTAATGGAAGCTATGAGTCTTCTCCCTCCTTCCCTGTTCCCAGTTCTCACATACCTATAGCTTTATACTATGTAAATTCAGGGTACCTGTCTGTTCTTCACCCCCCACCCCTCTCAGGGCCACCTGAGGATCCCGAGATGAGACCAGGAGACGGGTGTTCAGTTAGCACTGTTCCTGCCTTGGAGGAGAAATAGTACATTGTTGGGTTCAGAAATGGAGCTTTCCTTCAGGGGAGTGATAACTCTTTCATCTCAAGTTCCATCCTACAGAACCCCAAACAGAGAGTCCTGGCTTGCTCTTAGGCATATGTTGTCCCACGCCACTTTCCCCAGCCCAAGGTTGGGATGGGGCAGACTAAGCTTCCCAAGTAGTTGTATATACTTAAGAAGGGCCTCTTTCAACCTTGTTTTAAAGTTGGGCCCTGACTTCCAGAAACACACGTTATCAGGTGGAAACACATAAAGGCTTAGAACTTAGGGCCTGAAAATGATGCATCCCAGAGATGCTGCTGCTTCATGTAGGAGCTGGGTAGGGTGGGGGTGAGACAACACCCATTTGTTCAACAGCTTGCTCATTTCAGCATCTCATCTTCTCTTTCACAGCCCTTCTTTTGAAGAAAGGAAACAGTTGGGCTTGCCCCACCAGAGACGAGGAGGAAACTTTAAATCTAAATCCAGGTGATACTGGCTGTTTTGGAGGGGCATAGGTTATGGCTGTTTGGGATTAGAGGTAAAAACCTTTCATGGAAAAGGAGCTTCTCCATCCTCATTCTGGTCTTCACTCTCTGATTTTCTTACAGATACAAGAGGAGGAAGTAGCTGTTGTGGCCTGAAGAAATTCATGGGGGCAGCCCTTAAATCCCTTCCCTGTGGGAAGTCATCCTGGCTGGTCTGTCTTTTCTCCGTTTGTTCAAAAAACAAAAAAAAAGTTTGGTGTGGTGGTATGGTATGTAGCTATTTTCCTAAGCATGTCTATCAATCTCCTTTCTTGCTGATTAGCTTTCACATAATGACTATATTAAATGGAACTATTTTTGGAAGAGAAACCAATCCAAGTGTATATCTTATTACTATCTCGTTCTCAATGGCAAAGTGTGCCCACAGTCTACTAGCTTGGTATCACCATATACCACTGGAATGCATCATCTTTATGCTTAGAGAGGAACTGGGTATGGAGTGAGGAAATTCTTGGTAGAAGTTCTCTTCTAGCCTGGGGAACGTAGCGAGACCCTGTCTCTTAAAAAAAAAAAAAAAAAAGTTCTCTTCTGTTGATATTCTAGAACTAAGAGCTAAATGATAGCTGAAGATAGCTAAATGATAACTCTTAGTTCTAAAACATCAACAGAAGAGAACGTTAGCATGAATGCCAACCATGCACCAGATATTCTGTGTGCTGAATAGAATCCAATCAACTCACTGCACTCCTGTGAGGCAGGCAGTGATATCCTCATTTTCCAATAAACAGAGGCTTGGAAAGAGTAACTTTCCAGAGTTGCACAGCTAGGAATTCAGGTTTTCAACCAACATCTACTTGAATCCACACCCTACCTCTTGCTGCTGTACTGTGGAAATGCTGCTGGAGAAATGGAAGCCCAAAAAGGACAGGAGTCTTGACACCATAAATTAGTTACTTGCTGCAAAAACCAGAGTCTCTTGTCCCCCAGGCTGGAGTGCAGTGACACAATCTTGGCTCATTGCAACCTCTACCTCCTGGGTTCAATTGAGTCTCCTGCCTCAGCCTCCGAATACCTGTGATTACAGGCGTCCGCTACCACGCCTGGCTAATTTTTGTATTTTTAGGAGAGACAGGGTTTCACCATGTTGGCCAGGCTGGTCTTGAACTCCTGACCTCAGGTGATTCACCTACCTCGGCCTCCCAAAGTGCTGGGATTACAGGCATGAGCCACTGTACGTGGCCAAAAACCAGTTTTGATCCTGTAAGAATGTCGGTTCTCATCCTTTTCTGACTCAGAATGAGATGAAAGCTGTAGGGCCCCACCTGGGAAAACTGTATAGTTTGTTATAATTTCAGGGAGTACTTAACCACCCTACCCCCGGCTTAAAAATTATAAGTTATCCAGTAGCACATACCCTAGATACTAAAGAGTGTGTTCAAAGCTATTCATTCAGGCTGCACCTAAGTCACCAACAGAGGGTCCAATTCAGAAAATGATGGCACAACTGTGGGATAGGAGTACAGTTCAGACTACTGTCTTACTGGATTTTACAGAAAGTAGGTTATTAAGCTAAAAAAACCAAGTGCAGAACTGTGTACTTTTTCTTTTCCTTTTTTTGAACCTTTTTTCTTACTCAGTGGCTTCAGTGCTCACTGCAACCTCGACCTCCCCAGGCTCAGGTGATCCTTCCACCTCAGCCTTTGGAGTAGCTAGGACCACAGGTGTGAGCAAGCACAACTGGCTTATTTTTGTATTTTTTTTTGTGGAGATGGTTTCGCCATGTTGCCCAGGCTGGTCTTGAACTCCTGGGCTCAGGCGATCTGCCCACTGTGGCCTCCCAAAGTGCTGGGATTACAGATGTGAGCCACCATGCCTGGCCTAAGGGATATGTATTACATGTGCATAAGCTCTCTCTGGGAGGACTCAGGAAGTGCAGGGTTTGCCTCTGGGGAAGGAAACTTCAAGTATACCCTTTGTACAGGTTGAAAAATGTTCTTTTTACCATGGGTAAAAATGATTCATTCACCAGGTAAATAAAAATCCTGTATCACAAAAACAAAATCACAGCCTCATTGTGGACAGTGCCTGCCTTGTCCCTGTCTTCACTGTCTTTGGCTGAGTTGCTTCTGAAAATTGAGGATACACATGGACCACTGATTTTCTCAATCATCGTTTTTAATTGGCTTTATAAGCTAAAGTGCATAGTAAAGACAAAAAAAGGAAATGCATACACAGGAAAGGGACACTTAGAAAGGACCTGAGATACCTAAATGTCTGTTCTAAGGAACACTGGAAGGAGGGAATGCAGATGCAGGCAGCAGGCCTGGGTCTGGCTTCTGGCCTGGGTTTGGAGCCTGCAGAAGCTGCTGGCATGCTAGCCCTACCCAGGCAAAAGCTCCAAGAGGGAGTGTTGGGATGAAGGATCACACTTGGGATAGGTGCTGCTGGTACCAAATGTGACTTTAGCTCCACTCAGGGCCCAGGGGTAACCAGCAGTGCCACCAAACCTGTCAGACAGCAGGTAAAGAAATTTCCACCATCCCAAAGTGCAGGTTACAGGAAAGGGGTCACTCCTTAATGACGACCTGGGCCTGCTGCATAAAGCCCATCTTATGCAGCATGTGGGCTGTCCCATCTTCCCCACTCTCGGTGACTATGTAACTGGGTCAGGGTGAGTTGGTGCAGTCTTTGTCTTATTACATGCCTCCATCTCCTGGAGGCAGGGTGCCCAAGGAGGGCAGGAGGGGTTCTTGTGCTCCTTTTAAGAGATAAGCAGTTCATAAACAACTCTGGGCCTCTGTTTATTATGAGAGTTAGTTTGCAAATTAGGGCCTGGCAGTTAGAATCAGTCTGCATCAATGAGCTCATACTCTGTTCCTGGGGAACATAGAATAAACATTTGACCAAGTAAAGACCCAGAGATACCACTAGGTGGCCCTAGGTGGAAGCCCCAAACATATTCCAGGAGTCTGTCCACTAATTTGCAGGAGAGAAGAGGTGAGATTTGTTAACTTTGCTCTCAGTTCTGGAGATAAAGTGCTTACTCTAGCGCAGGGATAAATCTAGAAACAAATGTGGGCGAGCCCTAAAAGTGGATCCTTAAATAGGTGCTAAGACTAAAAAGGATGATTTTTTTTGTTTTGTTTTTGAGACAGAGTCTTGCTCTTGTTGCCCAGACTGGAGTGCAATGGCATGATCTTAGCTCACTGCAACCTCCGCCTCTGGGGGTTAAGCAATTCTCCTACCTCAACCTCCCAAGTAGCTGGGATTACAGGCGCCCACCACAACGCCCAGCTAATTTTTGCATTTTTAGTAGAGACGGGGTTTCACCATGTTGGTCAGGCTGGTCTCGAACTCCTGACCTCGTGATCCGCCTGCCTCGGCCTCCCAAAGTGCTGGGATTACAGGCGTAAGCCACCGCGCCTGGCCTAAAATAAAAAACAAACTTCGGTTCCTTCATAAGGGAGCTGGCCCCAGTCATTCGGTGGCAAGGGCAAAAGGCAGTGGTATACCATCTTCCTACATCATTCTCTGGATCTCCTCAAAGTTCATCAGGTTGTTGGCTGTGTCAGACCAGGCAGCATGCTGGGCTCCATCCATTTCAGAAGCAAGCTGGTTGCTTCTTTCCAGAGTATGATTTGTGCCACCAATCACTTCCTTACAGTCAGGACACGTGCCCCTCTCCATGGCTCCCCCACAATCGCCAATCACATAGATATGGCCATTGCGGCACTTGAACCAGTGACCACGAGGATAACCTATGGCGCTGACAATCTGCACTCGCTCTTCCTCTGAGATGCCCAGGCCAGAGCAGGGAAGGGTGGCTTTCAGAGCTTCCATCTTTTCCTGCACAAGTTGTTCATCCTCTTGGGTGAACTTACATGTTTTCTCAAGGATATTCTGGATACTATAGACCTCTACTGCTATGCTATCTTTCACCTTCTTCTCTGCTATCTTGTAGCGGGTCAGAAGGTTCACCAGGTACGTGAGCCTCTGGATTTCGCTTCGGAGGTCACTTAGTTCCTGGCTAGTGAAGCTCAAGCGCTTCTTGGCCAGCCACTCATGGACCTGGTCTAGTCGAGTCCTCACTCTTTTCTGTTCTAAGACATGCATCTTTTTCAGGGAATCCCACAGGCTGGCCAGGTGGTCATAGAAGCTGATGTAATTCTCAACCAGACCCAGGTCCTTCACTGACAAATTTTTCTGGGCCAGCTTCTCCTTTATCATCAGGAAGTCTTCAGGAAGCAGCTGGTGGAGGAGGCTCTTCCTCTCCAGCAGGGCCTTAAGCCGTTCCTGGCTGGTTGCTATTTCCCCTGCTGAACCCTGGATCTTTTCCTTGATGATTTCAATCTCTTCTAGCCGCTGTTTTATGCTAGTTCCATACCTCAGGTTTTTGCGGATGGGCACCTGGCAGATAGGGCAGACTTTCAACCTGATGGCGACTTCATCATCCTTCTGTTCATTCATGTAGCGGTCTAGGGCTTGCACCTCAAAGATGTGGCTGCAGTCTTCCAGCTGCACAAAGCGGGCATCAGGCTCATCCTCAAAGCCAAAGAATATTTGAGTGACCTCATCCATGTGGCAGATCCGGCATTTCTTGGGGCATGGCTCCCCACAGAGACCAATGCAGGGGTGGCCACAAACTAGCAGCTTAGTACAAGGCACATAGCATGGGGGTCGGTTGCAGGGCTCAGAGCAGAGTTTGGTGCACTGGTAGTGCTGGCAGCGCCAGACACAGGGTTCCACGCAGGGGCTACACAGCTCCCCACATTTCTTCTTGCACTGGCTGTGGACACAGCGGTTCTGACAGGTCCGTTGGCAGGGTGGGCACTCACCAGTGCATGGTTCCTGGCACTTGTGTGAGCAGATAAGCAGGCGCTTGCAGGGCTGCTGACAGCGTTCATGGAAACGCCCTTCAAAGCAGCTGTGGCAGGAGCCTGGGCAAGGATGCCCACAGTCCAAGACAGTGCCACACTTTGTGGTACACTTGACTGGCAGACCACCATACATGAGGTCTTCCACATGACCACATTTTACCTGCTGACTGTGCCCACACTTGAGTTTTACGGTGACCATTTCTGAACACAACTGCACACAGTCCTCACCACATGGGTGGCTGCATCTGTGCCCACATCTCAGAGACTTGGAGCAAGGCTCCTGGCAGCAGAAATCTGACTCAGGCACGGAACAAGGGACCATTTGTTCATGGCCGCACCGAGGAATGGTTTTGGGCACCTTCACCTGACAAGGCTGACACTCCTGGAAGCAAACAAGGGGACACCGGTGCCCATCCTGACAGATGACCTTCTGGCATGGCTTCATGCACTGGAACTCCTTGTGTGAAGAGTCATAAGGGTGGCAGGCACGGGTGCAGACATGCCCACAGCCCAGGCGGAACTCACAGGGCAGGCTGCAGCCTCCTTCGGGTACTTTTTGGAAGTCAGAAGCTTTGGATACTAAGGTGTGGGTATCAGGGTGGTTCTGGCAGCAGAGCCGGAGCATGGGGCCTATTTGATTGTTCTCTCGAAGCGTATGAATGATCTTGCTCCACAGGGGCACCTTGGCCAGCATCTGCATGTTTCCGATGCAGTACATTCCCTTCTTGGCTCGGGACAAGGCCACACAGATGCGGTTGGATATCTGCAGAAAACCCACCTTGCCTTCTTGGTTGCTCCGCACTAGGGAGAGGAGGATGATGTCATTCTCTTCCCCTTGGTATTTGTCCACAACATGGACCCTGACGCCAGCAAATGTCTTGGCAGGCATCAGTTTGCGCAGGCAGAAGAGCTGCCCGGTATAGGTAGTGAGGATGGTGATCTGGGAAGGCAGGTATTCCTGGCACAGGAAGTACTTGCACAGCTCTACCACAAAGTGAGCCTCGTGCTGGTTCTGATGGCTTTTGCCCTCTTGGATTTCCTGTTCAGGAAAGCTGTGTTCTACAAAGAAAAGGTTGGAAGACACCCCCTGACAGGGAAAAGAAGTGACATGTTAAAAGGTTCACTCATGGCACTTGTTTTTTTCTTCCTCTCTTCACATGCACTGGCCACTGACTGCTCCAGAGAGAGACCTTGGAAGGCTTTTTGTACCCTCAACATCACTATCTTTAGTTAGTCACTGTGTGCTTTGGGGCCACAGCAAGTTATGAAAATAAAAGATTATGTCTCTTTCAGTTTTCAAAGTACTTGTTTGATGTTAATATTTAAAACAGCTGGCCGGGTACAGTGGCTCACGCCTATAATCCCAGCACTTTGAGAGGCCAAGGTGGGTGGATCACCTGAGGTCAGGAGTTTGAGACCAGCCTGGCCCACATGGCGAAACCCCGTCCCTACTAAAAATACAAAAATTAGCTGGGCGTGGCAGTGGGCGCCTATAATCCCAGCCATTCAGGAGGCTGAGACGGGAGAATAGTTTGAACCCAGGATGCAGAGATTGCAGTGAGCTGAGATCATGCCACTGCACTCCAGCCTGGGTGACAGAGTGAGACTCCATCTCAAAAAAAATAAAAAAACAGCCATCCACAACCCAACCATTATAGCTGAGAGAACAAGCAGTGCTGTGATGATGACAGAGCAGCTAACTTACTGAGCACTCCACTGTGCTGACTGCTTTATATACATTACCTCCTTCCATACAGTAATGGGATATGGCAGGAGCCATTATTCTTATTGTCCAGAAGAACCTGATACTCAGAATTTATTTATTTTTAAAATAGAAACAGTCTTGCTATGTTCCCCAGCCTGGTTTTGAACTCTTGGCCTCAGCTGACAATTTTTTTTTTTTTTTTTTTTTTTTTGAGACAGAGTTTCACTCTTGTTGCATAGGCTGGAGTACAATGGCACGGTCTTGGCTCACCGCAACCTCCACCTCCCAGGTTCAAGCAATCCTCTTGCCTCAGCCTCCCAAATAGTTGGGATTACAGGCACCCACCACCATGCCCAGTTAATTTTTGTATTTTTAGTAGAGACGGGGTTTCACCATGTTGGCCAGGCTAGTCTCAAACTCCTGACCTCAGGTGATCTGCCCATCTTTGCCTCCCAAAGTACTGGGATTATAGGCAGGAGCCACCACACCCAGCCAAGCACACGCCACCACACCCAGCTAATTTTTATATTTTTAGTAGAGACGGGGTTTCACCATGTTGGCCAGGATGGTCTCGATCTCTTGACCTCGTGATTCGCCTGCCTTGGCCTCACAAAGTTCTGGGATTACGGGCATTAGCCACCGCACCTGGCCAGAATTCTTATATAACTTGCTTAAGGTTACATGGCTACTAACAGGCAGAGTTGGGATTAAAAACCCCTGGTATTTCAATTTCCTCCCAGTAACCAGCTTTTAAAAAGCTGGCTCTACTCCCTTCTGAAAGGCTTTCTTTTTGAGAGGGAGTCTCTCTCCGCTGCCCAGCCTGGAGTGCAGTGGTGTGGCACGATCTCAGCTCACTGCAACCTCCACCTTGCGGGTTCAAGCAATTCTCCTGCCTCAGCCTTCTGAGTAGCTAGGATTACAAGTGCTTGCCACCATGCCCGGCTAATTTTTGTATTTTAGTAGAGACAGGGTTTCACCATGTTAGTTAGGCTGGTCTTGAACTCCTGACCTCAAGTGATCTGCCCACCTCGGCCTCCCAAAGTGCTGGGATTACAGGTGTGAGCCACTGTGCCCAGATGCTGAAAAGCTTTTTCATCTTGAGAAAATTACAGCCTTTTTAGGTTGCTGACACCATCCAAGAAAGATCGGGTAAGAGAGACTCACCTTAATCTTCTCATAGTTAAGAACAGATGGATGATTCTCCAGATCCTGGTAAATGTGGGGGGTCAAAAGGCGGGCAATTTCAGGGCACATACGGTGCTGAAAAAACACATGCATGTCATTACAAACATGGGCAGAGCACACACGGACAATTTCTTTAAAGATGAGGTTGCTGTTAGAAAATTTAGGGAGGGCCAGTTGTGATGGCTCATATCTGTAATCCCATCACTTTGGGAGGCCAAGGCAGGAGGATCACTTGAGCTCAGGAGTTCGAGACCAGCCTGGCAACATAGTGAGCCCTCGTCTCTATTTTTATTTCTTTTTTTTTTTTGAGACGTGTCGCCAAGGCTGGGGTGCAATGGCACAATCTCAGCTCACTGCAACCTCTGCCTCCCAGGTTCTAGTGATTCTCCTGCCTCAGCCTTCCAAAAGTAGCTGGGACTACAGGCATGAGGCACAACACCTGGCTAATTTTTTGTATTTTTAGCAAAGACAGTGTTTCGCCACGTTGGCCAGGCTGCTCACGAACTCCTGACCTCAGGTGATTCGCCCGCCTTGGCGTCCCAAAGTGCTGGGATTACAGGCGTATGCCACCACACCTGGCCTCTATTTTTTTTTTTTTTTTGAGATGGAATCTCACTCTATCACCAGGCTGCAGTGCAGTGGCATGATCTCGGCTCACTGCAATCTCTGCCTCCTGGGTTTAAGCGATTCTCCTGCCTCAGCCTCCCGAGTAGCTGGGATTACAGGCGCCCACCACCACGCCAGGCTAATTTTTGTATTTTTAGTAGAGACAGGGTTTCACCATGTTGGCCAGGCTGATCTCGAATGCCTGACCTCATGATCGACCCGCCTCGGCCTCCCAAAGTGCTAGGATTACAGGTGTGAGCCACCACACCTGGCCTCTATTTTTCTTAAAAAAAAAAAAAAAGGAAAGAAAATCTAGAGATATAGAGATTATCATTTGAAAAAAATAATAAGGAGAAGGCATAACATAAACAGATCCTTTGTCCAACAAAAACTCAACACAGGGTCATCTTGTGGTGTTTTAAAACAGAAAATGTGAGGTTGACAGAGTCATTTCAGTATTACATTATTTTTATTTATATGAGACCTCTTTTGCGGGCAACTGGCAGCTTCCCAAGAGCTTTCTCCTGGGCATTTGGTAATAACAGAGGCCCAGCTTCTCACCTGGTAGTTCAGACGGACAAAGGGAATGTTTACTTTCACTAGCCGTTCAAAAAGGGACACCTCAAGGTTGAAGTTCTTGGCCAGATCATACACGTTGGCACTGGGGCGCAGCTGAGAAGAGAAACATGGCTGAAGATTCTCTACTGATAAAGTCATTTAACCATCCATACTTCCATCCATCCAACCAACCATCAAATGTTTTTCAAGTGCTATGTGCCAGGTACTCTTCTACATATTCACAGTTTAAGGATTAATAATGACAAGGGTTAAGGATTAGTAGAACTAAAGGTGGTATGACAGAGTGCCCCATGGTGGGTTTTTTCTAGTTAGGCCTCTGAACAGTGACATCTGAGTAGACACTAGCATGGCAGAGGTTGCCAGTTCTTCATTCATTTGAAAAGCAAGATCCATAATGGGGAGCGGAAAGGACAGAGAGGGACACCATAAGCAAATGGGATGAAGTCAGAGAAATAAGCTGAAACCTGATCACACAAGCCTTTGCGGGCCACTTTAAGAAGCTTGATTTTTATTCAAGTGCAATGGGAAACCACTGGAGGGTTTTTAGCTGGAAAGTGATATTATCTATCTACCTCTTTCTTTTTTTTTTTTTTTTTTTTTGAGACGGAGTCTCGCTCTGTCGCCCAGGCTGGAGTGCAGTGGCCGGATCTCAGCTCACTGCAAGCTCCGCCTCCCGGGTTCACGCCATTCTCCTGCCTCAGCCTCCCGAGTAGCTGGGACTACAGGCGCCCGCCACCTCGCCCGGCTAGTTTTTTGTATTTCTTAATAGAGACGGGGTTTCACCGTGTTAGCCAGGATGGTTTCGATCTCCTGACCTCGTGATCCGCCCGTCTCGGCCTCCCAAAGTGCTGGGATTACAGGCTTGAGCCACCGCGCCCGTTTTTTTTTTTTTAATTCACTTTGGCTCCTTTATGTAGAGTGCATTAGAGGGTAGCAAAAATGGAAGCAGGGAGACTGAGGAGCATGCTATTATAATACAGTCCACTCGAGAGACCATGGTGGACTAGGTAAATAGCAGAAAGAATGGATGAAATAAATGATGTTGCCACTAAAATATACCCCAAATCTAATAGCACCTGCTCTTAGACTGAATGTGGGAGGTGAAGGCAAGAGGAATCACAAAAAGCTAATAATAAGCTTGAGGACTGTTGAAGCAGAGGCCAGGGTCTTCCTTTATGATCTCACCCCCAAAGAGAGCCAGCCCATCTTCTAGGGGGGCTCCTGTTTTACCTGCTGGTGGTCCCCAATCAGAATGAGATGCTGGCAAGCTTTGCTCAATGTGGCAATGGTATGGGCCTCAAGGACTTCCGCAGCTTCTTCCACTATGACAATCCTCGGCTCCACCTTCTGTAGGATCTGGCGGTATTTGGCAGCACCTCAAGTGAGGAAAGAAGAGAAAGGCTCCTCTGGGCTGAGGCACAGGACCCACAGGGCCACTGAGCCTCTGGGAATCCGCTTTGGTATCTTCCCTGAACCTGGATCAGCGACAAGTAGTCCTTATAGCGTTCTGGGTGGTCTCCAGAACATTAAAGCTGTGTTGGTCACTGTTAGAGTTTCAAACCCAGTAGGAGAAAGTGAGTGAATTTCTTTTCTTTTCTTTTGTTTTTTGAGACAAAGTCTCATTCTGTCACCCAGGCTGGAGTGCACAGTGGTGCAATCTTGGCTCACTGCAACCTCCGCCTCCCAGGTTCAAGTGATTCTTTTTTTTTTTTTTTTTTTGAGACGGAGTCTCGCTCTGTCGCCCAGACTGGAGTGCAGTGGCCGGATCTCAGCTCACTGCAAGCTCCACCTCCCGGGTTTACACCATTCTCCTGCCTCAGCCTCCCGAGTAGCTGGGACTACAGGCGCCAGCCACCTCGCCCGGCTAGTTTTTTGTATTTTTTTTAGTAGAGACGGGGTTTCACCGTGTTAGCCAGGATGGTCTCGATCTCCTGACCTCGTGATCCGCCCGTCTCGGCCTCCCAAAGTGCTGGGATTACAGGCTTGAGCCACCGCGCCCGGCCTCAAGTGATTCTTGTGCCCCAGCCTCCCAAGTAGCTAGGATTACAGGTGCCCACCACTACGCCTGGCCAGTTTTTGTATTTTTAGTAGAGATGAGATTTCACCATGATGACTAGGCTGATTGCAAACTCATGACCTCAGGTGATCCACCTGCCTTGGCCTCCCAAAGTGCTGGGATTACAGGCGTGAGCCACTGCGCCTGGCAAAAGTGAGTGAATTTCACCAAAAGTTCTCAAAATATGGGTGCTTTCAGTAGCTTTTCATGTTATTTTCCTCTAACCTACCAAAGAAGTTCCTCTTTACCTGTCCTTAGATAATCTGGCACCAGAAGTGAACTTAGATGCAACAGGTAAATTTCTCCACAGTTTCTCACCTGTGGTTGTCATTCCTACAACCTGGGCATCTTTAAGAATGTGCAGGTCTTCCTGGAGTCTCAGCTCAGCCATTCTTTCTGCTGATGTGCGGTACTGGCGTTCATAGCTGAGGATCTTCCGGCGGGTGTCAGCCTGGTACAACTGTAGCCAGAGCCTGGAGAATGGGAAGAACCAAGGAAAGAAAGCCACATGCTCTTTAAGAAGGTGGAAGAACCCCCTTCAGTGTGCCCAGTATATGAAGTGAACCTTGGACCTTTGGAGCATAGTGACAAACAGATATATTCAGGGAACCAAGAATCCAAAATGCCCAACAGAAAGATGTCCAGAGTGGTCAGGAGCTAAGGAAAGGGGTGAGATAAAGAACAAAGGTTAACTATGGGAAGAGAATAAGAGACTTTAAAAGTGATGATGTCACTAATCGCTGTAAAACTTTCCAACGGCTTTCTACTACTCTTTTTTTTTTTCCCCCTGTAGAGATGAGGTCTCACTATGTTGCCCAGGCTGGTCTTGAACCCTGGGCCTCAAGTGATTCTCTAGCCTCAGCCTCCCAAAGTGCTGGGATTACAGGTGTGAGTCACTGTGCCTGTTACCGCTCTGTTCTTTTCTGAGTTTTTATACCCATTTGTAACTTTTTATTTATGGAATTATGTGATTAATTTGTTACCCTGGATAGACTCCATAGGCTCCATGAAGGTAATAATTAATTTGTTACCCTGGATAGACTCCATAGGCTCCATGAAGGTAGAGCAAAGTGTCAATTCTATCCCATGGCTGTATCCCTATCACTCAGCTCAGTGGTTCGTTGAAGGTCTTGGAGGTGGAGAATGTTTGAACGGAGGTGGAGAATGTTCCAGGAACAGAAAAGGAAAATGTTCCAGGAACAGAACTTCCTGGGGAAATTACATGGGTTGGCTGGATGTGGAACACAGTACCTATAAAGCTGCCAGCGAGAACTGAGGTCCAGCTGCCAAACATCCTCGATCTCATTGGCCTCGGCTGCAGTCATGGTGTTCAGTTTGCGAAGCTCATCCTTCACTCTTTTTTTCATTTTCTTTTTCTGGTTGCGCTGGGTCTGCAGACATCAATACCAGCAGAGGCAGGCTTGGTTTTAAGCCCAAGGCAGGGGCCACAGCACAAGAAAAAGGGCTGGCATCCCTGATTAATGTCAAGTGTCTTACATTCTCCCAACAGCTCTTCCACTGTAGAGTGGCTAAACAAGGACTCTGGAGCCAGTTTGCCTGACTTCAAAGCCCTACTCTACCTCTTACTAGGTTGTGGAACCTAAGGTAAATGACCTACCCTCTGTGTCCCTCAGTATCACCTTCTATAAAATGGGAATAATGATAGTATCTCTTTATAGGATTGTTGGCTTGTCAGGAATAAATACATGGAAAGCATTTATACTACTGCTAGCACTAGTTATCATTAAACATCTTTGACCATAGCCTGTTTCTTGTTCCTAAAATGTATGCCATGAAAGTCATGGGGGTGGTATTTTCTTGTTGAATGCTACACAACCAGTGCCCAGCAACTGGTGCTTCACACAGGACTTGGCACAGTGCCTGCTAAAATGGTCCTACTGCCATCGTATCAACACAGTACCTTTAACAAGTGGGTAGAAAGCAGTTTATGAGAAAGTGCTCTCTTCTGTCAGAGTCTGAGGCTATGAGCCTTTAGAAGGACTCGCAAGTCAAACAGATGTCACTAAATAAAGATCTCCCTGCTGCTTCAAAATGAAACAAATCAACCTTTCCTGATGCCTCCTGGGAGAGATGCTGAAACCATGCTTCTAAGAATTGAGATCATGACTCTGCTCACCACATATAGTGATACTGAACTGAACTAGGAGATCAGGTGCAAACCCAGCACTCAGGTGAAAACAGCATCCAAAGTTGCCCTTCAAAGTTCTCGAATCATTGGTAAGGTTTACAAATTCTTATTTTGAGTATCTAATCCTCGATCATCGTAGTTATGCATGGTAAATAGTGAGGGCTACTAGGCTCCACCAAAAGGAGCAGAGGGAAAGCTACATGAAGACACCTGGGCATTCATACAATTCTGGCTTTAAGAGAAGTGTCAAATTCCAGGGTGAATGAAGGAGGAATAGTCCATCCAGCCTGGAGGTCTCATTTCATTGCTTACTTTAATCCTCTAAAATCTTAGTACATGTTTACAAACTCATTTGAAATGAGAAGACAACACTCCTTAAGGCATTAAGTGCTGAGACCGTGTTTGACCTGACTCATATGTGCTACATTCTTCCACAAGTTCTACAAAAGCACTTGGCTACCTGCTACCTGTCTTTCTAAGCTGGCATTTCTTGCCAGAGGCCCTCTGAAGAACTGTAGTATTTATATCCATGGGAATTAGTACACCCATCTTATACCAGGGTAGGCTGTAATACAGGTACTTAGTTAATTGCAATGATGAAGTGAATATACTGTTATCAGAAGTGGGGGAAAACAAATGGTCAGAACACTCTCAGGCCTGTTTCAACCCAAGGAAGTGAGTTTACCTGCCACTCTCCCGTGGCTTGCTCCTGTCCACCTGCTGTCCCAGGGCCACAATGGTCTAGCCTCATGGCCAGAAGCATTTTAGCCAACTCCTGGTCTGCCCCACTCTCTTCCTTCTTCCGTCGCTGGGGCCTCACCACCTCTTCCTCCTCAATCACTCGGTCTGCTTGAATCAGGTCAGCTTCCTCTGCGATCTCAATCAGCGAACTCTCCTCCTCCCCTTCTTCCTCCTCATACCCTTCTGCCTGGGCTAAGAGAAACAGATAGAGATGAAAACTCTTTTTTTTTTTTTTTTGAGACGAAGTCTCGCTCTGTTGCCCAGGATGGAGTGTGGTGGTGTGATCTTGGCTCACTGCAACCTCTGCCTCCTGGGTTCAAGTGATTCTCTGGCCTCAGCCTCCCGAGTAGCTGGGATTACAGGCACCCAGCACCACGCCTGGCTAATTTTGGTATTTTTAGTAGAGATGGGGTTTCACCATGTTGGCCAGGCTGGTCTCGAACCCCTGACCTTGTGATCTGTCTGCCTCGGCTTCCCAAAGTGCTGGGATTACAGGCGTGAGCCACTGTGCCTGGCCAGAGATAGAAACTCTTGAAGCTAAGGGACAGAAGAGGGCACCTACACGAGCTCAGATGCATGAAGACATTATCAAGGGTTTATGTGATTTTTTTTTTTTTTTTTTTTGAGATGGAGTTTCGCTCTTGTGGCCCAGGATGGAGTGCAATGGCACAATCTTGGCTCACCACAACCTCCACCTCCTGGCTTCAAGTGATTCTCCTGCCTCAGCCTCCCAAGTAGTTGGGATTACAGGCATGCACGACCATGCCCAGCTAATTTTGAATTTTTAGTAGAGACAGGGTTTCTCCATGTTGGTCAGGTTGGTCTCAAACTCCCGACCTCAGGTGATGTGCCTGCCTTGGCCTCCCAAAGTGCTGGGATTACAGGCGTGAGCCACTGCACCGGGTCCTGTATGATTATTTTTGAGACAAGAAACTAGAAGGAATGAGAGGAGAGTTAGGAAAGGCTTAGGTCTCCTTATATACTTTTTGTTACATGTTTTACATTTTAAAAAATCATATGAATGTATGCCTTTTAAAGAAAGGTTTTGGCTGTGCGTGGGGCTTAGGCCTGCATCCCAGCACTCTGGGAGGCTGAGGCGGGTGGATCACCTGATGTCAGGAGTTCGAGACCAGCCTGGCCAACACGGTGAAACCCTGTCTCAGCCGGGTGCAGTGGCTCATGCCTGTAATCCCAGCACTTTGGGAGGCCAAGGCGGGTGGATCACGAGGTCAGGAGATCAAGACCATCCTGGCTAACACAGTGAAACCCTGTCTCTACTAAAAATACAAAAAAAAAATTAGCCGGGCATGGTGACGGGCACCTGTAGTCCCAGCTACTCGGGAGGCTGAGGCAGGAGAATGGCGTGAACCCGGAGGTGGCGGAGCTTGCAGTGAGTGGAGATCGCGCCACTGTACTCCAGCCTGGGCGACAGAGCGAGACTCGGTCTCAAAAAAAAAAAAAAAGAAACTCTGTCTCTACTAAAAATACAAAAATTAGCCAGTTAGCCAGGTGTGGTGGTGCATGCCTGTAGTTCCAGCTACTTGGGAGGCTGAGGCAGGAGAATCGCTTGAATCCAGGAGGTGGAAGTTGCAGTGAGTCGAGATCATGCCATTGCGCTCCAGCCTGGGCAACAGAGCAAGACTCCATCTCAAAAATAAATAAATAAGGCTGGGCGCGGTGGCTCATGCCTGTAATCCCAGCACTTTGGGAGGCCGAGGCGGGCAGATCATCTGAGGTGAGAGCTCAAGACCAGCCTGGCCAACAGGGGGAAACCCCATCTTTACTAAAAATACAAAATAAGCTGGGCATGGTGACTGTGCCTGTAATCCCAGCTACTTGGGAGGCTGAGGCAGGAGAATTGCTCAAACCTGGGAGGCAGAGGTTGCAGTGAGCCAAGATCACGGCTTTGCACTCCAGCCTGGGGGACAGAGTGAGACTGTGAGACTTAGTCTCAAAAAAATAAATAAATAAAAATAAAAAAATAAAATAAATAAATACAAAATAAATAAATAAATAAAAGGTTTTACTTATACCAAATACATATACAATGGAGGGCATTCAATGTAAATACGTAATATAAAGGATAATAAAAATATATAAAATGAATACCCACGTACCCTCCACCCAATTTAAGTAGAAAACTGCCAAGTTTTTTGAAGACCTTTGTGAGCCTTCCTAACCCGAATTTTATATTACTCATTTCCTTTCTAAAAGATAATGTTACCACATTTATACCGTATCAAAGTAACACACTGTCTAGTATATATGTTTCCATAACTTGTCTTTTTTTTTTTTTTTTTTTTTTTGAGACGGAGTCTCGCTATGTCGCCCAGGGTGGAGTGCAGTGGCCGGATCTCAGCTCACTGCAAGCTCCGCCTCCCGGGTTTTTACGCCATTCTCCTGCCTCAGCCTCCCGAGTAGCCGGGACTACAGGCGCCCACCACCTCGCCCGGCTAGTTTTTTGTATTTTTTAGTAGAGACGGGGTTTCACCGTGTTAGCCAGAATGGTCTCGAACTCCTGACCTCGTGATCCGCCCGTCTCGGCCTCCCAAAGTGCTGGGATTACAGGCTTGAGCCACCGTGCCCGGCCTTTTTTTTTTTTTTTTTTTTTTAGACTATGTCTGTCACTCAGGCTGTAGTACAGCATTGCAGTCCTGGCTTACTGCAGCCTCAACCTCCTGAGCTCAAGCCATCCCCTTGCCTCAGCCACCTATGTAGCTGGGACTACAGGCACGCACCACCACAACCAGCTATTTTTTGTTTTGTTTTTTTTTTTGATAAAGACAGGGTCTCATTATGTTGCCCAGGCTGGTCTCCAACTTCTGGGCTCAAACGATCCTCCTGCCTTGTACTTGCAAAGTGCTGGGATTACAGGCATGCGCCACCATGCCTGGCTAACTTGCCTTTTTCATTCAGCATGTTTTTGAGATTCATATGTGTTACTGTATATGCTGTGATTCATTCCTTTTCACTGCTGTACAGTATTTCACTATCTGAGTTGACTTAATTGATCCATCCATTGAAGAAATGTTGATGAACATTTGAGTTCTGATTTTCTGGTATGATAAAGTGGTTATATAAATTTAAATATCCCCAGCAGCAGTGCACAGAGTTTCCATTGCTTCAAATTCTCATCAACATGGGGTTATATCAAACTTTAATTGTTGCCAAACTGGCGCGTATGTAATAGTATCTCATTGTGGTTTTAATTCCTCTAGTTTTTAATGAGTACTTTTCATATATCTATTGAACAGTAAGATTTCCTATTTTGTGATGTGCCTGTTAGAAGTCTTTTATCTCATTAACTGGGCGTGGTGGCACATGCCTGTAATCCCAGCTACTTGGGAGGCTGAGACAGGAGAGGAGAATCACTTGAACTCAGGAGGCAGAGGTTGCGGTGAGCCGAGATCGCGCCATTGCACTCCAGTCTGAGCAACAAGAGTGAAACTCCATCTCAAAAAAAAAAAAAAAAGTATTTTCTCTTTTCCTTATTTTAAGCTATTTGTCTTTCTCTGACTGACTTATAGCTCTTTATTTATTCTGGGAATTATTTTTAAGTCTCCCTGTTCTGGTATTTACTATATTCTACCTTAAGATTTGATTCTAGTAAGACATGCACTTCTTACCTGTATTCTCAGGTCCTGCTGGAGAAACACTTTGGGTGAAAGAACCGACACCAAGACCTAGCCACTCCAGCATCATGGAATGCTTCCAGTGCTGGAAGCAAATCCATTCACTATCCTAAGGAAAGAAGAAAGATCATTTGTGAGGATTCTATGACAACCAATGTGAAGGCAGGGTCTCCTCAAAGAATCAAAAGCAGATTGGGGCATGGTAGCTCATGCCTCTAATCCCAGCAATTTGGAAGGCCAAGGCAGGAGGACTGCCTGAGCCCAGAAATTCAAGACCAGCCTGGGCAATATGGTGAGACCCCATGTCTTAAAAAAAAAAAAAAAAAAACGACTGGGCGTGGTGGCTTGCGCCTGTAATCCCAACACTTTGGGAGGCCAAGGCAAGGCAGATCACCTGAGGTCAGGAGTTGGAGACCAGCCTGGCCAACATGGAGAAACCCTGTTTCTATTAAAAATTCAAAAATTAGGCTGGGCGCGGTGGCTCATGCCTGTAATCCCAGCACTTTGGGAGGCCGAGAAGGGCAGATCACAAGGTCAGGAGATCGAGACCACAGTGAAACTCCGTCTCTACTAAAAATACAAAAGAAACATTAGCTGGGCACGGTGGCGGGCGCCTGTAGTCCCAGCTACTCAGGAGGCTGAGGCAGGAGAATGGCGTGAACCCGGGAGGCGGAGCTTGCAGTGAGCCGAGATCCCGCCATTGCACTCCAACCTGAGGGACAGAGTGAGACCCCGTCTCAAAAAAAAAAAAAAATACAAAAATTAGCCAGGCATAGTGGTGCATGCCTGTAGTCCCAGCTACTCAGGAGGTTGAGGCAGGACAACTGCTTGAACCCGGGAGGCGGAGGTTGCAGTGAGTGGAGATTGTGCCACTACACTCCGGCCTGAGTGACAAAGCAAGACTCTCTTAAAAAAGGTGGGTGTGATGGCATGTGCATATAATCCCAGTTACTCAGGAGGCTGAGGTGGGAGGACTGCTTGAGCCCAGGAGGCCGAGGCCGCAGTGAGCTATGATTATGCCACTGCCCTCCAGCCTGGGCTCAAGACCCTATCTCAAAAGAAAAAAGAATCAAAAGTAATTCCCTTAAAGTTTATAGGCTGTACTATTCACAACAGCAAAGACATCTAATCAACCTAAATGCCCATCAATAAAGGACTGGATAAAGAAAACGTGGTACATATACACCATGGAATACTATGCAGCCATAAAAAAAGAATGAGATCATGTCCTTTGCAAGGACATGAATGGAGTTTGAGGGCATTATCTTTAGCAAACTAACACAAGAACAGAAAACCAAATACTGCATGTTCTCACTTATAAGTGGGAGTTAAATGATGAGAACACATGGTCGCATAGAGCGGATCAACACACTGGGGCCTATCGAAGGGTGGAGGGTGGGAGGAGGGAAGGGAGCAGGAAAAATAACTGATGAGTACTAGGCTTAGTATCTAGGTGACGTACAACAAACTGCCATGACACAAGTTTACCTATGTAACAAACCTGCACATGTACCACTGAATATAAGTTAAAAAAAAAAAGAAACATTATATCGCTAAAAAACAAAACAAAACAAAACAAAACAAAAAAAAAACAGTTCATAGGCTGCAAACTGGCATCTCCTTGGACAACTGGAACATTTAACATGACTTGCATAGAATTTTAAAAATCAAAGGGCTGGGCACGGTGGCTCATGCCTATAATCCCAGCACTTTGGAAGGCCGAGGTGGGTGGGTCACCTGAGGTCAGAAGTTCAAGACCAGCCTGGCCAACGTGGTGAAACCCAGTCTCTACAAAAATTAGCCAGGCATGATGGCAGGTGCCTGTAATCCTAGCTACTCAAGAGGCCGAGGCAAGAGAATCGCTTGAAACCAGGAGGCGGAGGTTGTAGTGAGCCAAGATTGCACCATTGCACTCCAGCCTGGGGTGAGAGAGTGAGATTCTGTCTTGGGGGAAAAAAAAAAAAGAGAATTTAAAAAATTTTCCAGCCTATTTTGACAAAATCAGGAGCTATGGCAACAAATGGCTGGAGCTGGGTTGCTACCACATATGTTCCAGTTTGCCACAGTCCTCTCTGCTTCTTAATATTTCAAATCTAGATTGCTTCACTTATTTGTAAGACCTGAATGACCTCTGTAAGCTTTTGGATTTGTAATCCTATAAATCAGCAACCTAATGATAATAAAGCTACCATTTCACTGGGTTCCTGGCCCGCCACATTACACAGACTGTCTCAGTTATTTCTTACAATATCTTTTGAAGGCAGGCATTATTATCATCCATGTTTGATCACTGAGGATCACATGAGCCCAAGTCACATAGTCAGTCTGCATGACTATATCTATCAACTCCCAAGTTCTCTGTCTGTGCTAGTTTGCCTCTGGTTATGATTTTGTTCATTTAACAAACACATAGTACAGTTACTAAATTAATAAGCTTACAAATACTACCTTGCTCATCTAAATAACAATCCTGTAAGAACAAATATCTGTAAGAAATTGCCTTTTTGCAAATCAATATTATAGATATTGGCAATTTCATATGGTTCAACTTAATGCTTATTATTATCCCCATTTTATAAAAGAGGAAACAGCCACAGGAAATTAAGTAACTTGTCCAGAGCCAAGCCCAGATTAAAACCCAGCAGGCTGGTTCCAGAGTTTTGTTCCTGACCAGCATATTCAGCTGCCTCTCATCACAAAAGGTAACTTTGCACATTGTGGCAGCATCAGATTATCAAACAGCTAAAGTTTTGGACTGATGATTCTCCTGGAGGCTACCTCAAAGTACTGAGGCCAGAGACATATTTGTGTCCCCCAGGATGACCCCTACCTGCACTGGTCCATTCATGAGACTTTCCCAGTGCTGAGGTGAGATGTACTTCTGCAGGTACTGTTCCCGTAGGACACCGCGCATGGTGCACTCCAGGGTCTTGGCTCCTTCATGAAGCTCTTGCTCTGACTCCTTCATCTGTGTCATGATCTGCCAAGAAGAGAGGGAAAGAAATGATGAGGAAATATCATCATCCCCCAAACTCAGTCCTCACCTTGAGGGAAAACAAAGCTAAGACAGGACAGTAAGGAGGGAGAATAAATAGACTGGTCAACAAACCGATTTCCCAAGGCACATTATTGTGGTCTTGAAACCAAAGAACTAGTATCGGCTGGGCGTGGTGGCTCATGCCTGTAATCCCAGCACTTTGGGAGGCTGAGGCAGGTGGATCACTTGCGGTCTGGAGTTCAAGACCAGCCTGGCCAACATGGCAAAACACCGTCTCTACTAAAAATGCAAAAATTAGCCGGGCGTAGTGGTGAGTACCTGTAATCCCAGTTACTTGGGAGGCTGAGGCACAAGAATTGCTTGAACCCGGGAGGTAGAGGTTGCAGTGAGCTGAGATGGTGCCACTGCACTCCAGCCTAGGTGACAGAGTGAGACTCCGTCTCAAAAAAAAAAAAAAAAAAAAAAAAAAACCAAAATCTCTGAAAGATTCCTACCAATCAGTAAAAAAAGAAAACAAGGAATGCAGGTTGAATATCCCTTATCCAAAATTCTTGGGACTAGAACTGTTTCAGATTTTGGAATATTTGCATTTATACTTACTGGTTGAGCATCCCAAATCTGAAAATCCAAAATGTGAAATAATGTTGGGCAGGGCGCAGTGGCTCACACCTGTAATCCCAGCACTTTGGGAGGCTGAGGCGGGCAGATCACCTGACGTCAGGAGTTCGAGACCAACCTGGGCAACATAGTGAAATCCTGTCTCTACTAACAATACAAAAATTAGACAGGTGTGATGGCAGGTGCCTGTAATCCCAGCTACTCAGGAGGCTGAGGCAACAGAATGACTTGAACCCAGGAGGTGGAGGTTGCAGTGAGCTGAGACTGTGCCACTGCACTCCAGCCTGGGCAACTGGGCAAGACCCTGTCTCAAAAAAAAAAAAAAAGGAAAAAAGAAAAAAAATAATGTTGGCATTCAGAAAGTTTTGGTTTTGGATTTTCTGATTTGAGATTCTCAACCTACACAACAGAAAAACAAACAGGCCAAGAATACTGTGGCAGAGACTTCAAGCTTCACAATATCTGTTCTCTCTCTTTTCCTTAGTAATAAGAATCCAGATTTTGATTGGGGACATTGCTGCCCAGCTAAAAGATGACATTTCCCTGGTCAGTTGGCTCTACACAGAGGTGCTGTGGGTGGTATGGGGGAAAGAGCCTTAAGGGAGGGTGGGATGGGCAGTGTGTCCTTGTCTTTTCTCCATCTTGGATTGCGAAGGCAAAGGTCATACCAAAGGATTAGCAGAATACAATGCTGAAAGGAACCTGGGTCCTCCAGAGCTTTGAGGAGCCTCTACATCTACCCTGGGCTGCCTACGCAGAAAGCCACTGCTATCTTGTTTAGGTCCCTCGTTACCTCAGATATTTCAGAGCTGGGACTTACACTCATGTAGGCCCTTCGGAGGTGCATGGGGAGGTTGCGGCGGAATTCCCGCTTGTTCCTCAGCTCCCTTAGGGTGAACTGCTTCAGGATTTCACTGTTGCTCCTTCCACCCACCCGCACAATGCTGGTCTTCTGACACTTGTAGATGCCTGTGGAGCAAAGTGGAGCACGGCAGAGTTGAAAGGAGCTATGCTAGGTTCTCTCAGGTGAGAGCTGTGTGTATTTGGGATCTAGTCTGGTTCCTTAGAGAACACACTTGTGCTTAAAGGAAATTTACCCCATTAATGAGTGAGAAGGTCCCCGAGAAGATGTGACCTGCAGAGCAGTAAAGTATAGCGCTTAAAGAGTACAAGTTCTGCAATCATACAACTAGGGATCTAACTCTTAGCTCTACCACTTATTGCTGTGTAACCTGGGGCAAGTTACTTGAGTCTCAGTTTCTCTGTCTGTGATTTAGAGATGGCAACATCTCCCACATAGGGCTACAGTCTGGATAAATGAAAGAAAATCTTTAAAGCTCCTAGCTAGGGTCCAGCACAAAGCAAGCATCCAGGAGATGTTACATATTTTTCACTCTGCAGATTTACTGATTGTTCGTATGTTCTAGGCATGTGCCAAGTTCTGAAGATATAGCAGTAGAAAAACAGGCCCAGTTTCTGATTTGTTATCATTTCTTTGTCTCTGGCAAGAAGTTACTCATTAAATAATCAATACGACAGCAATAAATGTAGTGAGTACTGGTAGCAGGGGACATCACCTAGTCTGGGTGGCGTAGGGATCTATTCTTAAGAATCTAATATTTAAATTCAGACTCTAAGAATAAAGATTTATCTAGGTGAAAGGGCAGTATAGAAGAATGAAAAATACAGGAAAAGCATATTCATTCATCCATTAATGTTACTTAGTAGTTTTTGAGTGCCTAATATGTGCCAGGATATGTGAATACAGCAAGAAAAGGACCAATCCTCATCTAGGGTAGAGATACATAAAATAGATTATAAAAAAATAAAAAATGCAAAAGAGACTTCACTTCAGGGCTACAGAAAAAGTCCACCTGAGAAGAGAGATTTAAAGTGGGACTAGAAGAATGAGTAGGGCCAGCCAGGTTGAATAAGCTCAAGATGGAGAGGGAAAAACTATTCCAGGCACGAGGATGGCATGGGCCAATGGAGGACGTAGAGGCTTTCAAGGAACTGAAGATAACCAGTGTTGCTGGAGTTAGGGAGAACAAGGTTAAGAAGTAGGAGCTGTGGTTCACAGTCCAGCTGGGACAGATCACAAACGGCCATGTAAGTGATGATAAGGACTGTCAACTTTGTTCGAAGAGCAATAGAAAGCTACTGGGTTGCTGATGGTTCAATCATCAACATCTTGATAGAGAGCAAATTTGCCTATAAATATTACCTTCCAGAAACTGGTCCAAAGCATGATTAGTATAACACACAACCAAGATGGGGAACTTCTGGAGGCTAATTTGCCAAACAGACTCGTTGGTTAGGAGGGCCTGAACAATTTTTAGACCCACATAGGTTTTGCCTAGAAAATAAGGAAAAAGGAATTTAATAATTTAGATATTTTCTAAATAAAGTAATTAATTACTTAGAGCAAAATCTTGTTTTTTTAATTTAATACATTAAGATAGTTTAAAATCTAAGAAGCATACATGGTATATTGTGAAAAGTCCCTCTTGTACTCTGTCACCCAGTTCTCTGGGTGGAAGCAACCAATGTTACCAGTTTCTTTTGTAACTTTACAGTGGTAGTATATCCATGTATATACAAACAAATACAAATGTATATTCTTTTTCTAGCCTTCCCCTTTTCTCCTTAAAATAGTAATAGTAACAGACTATTTTCACCATTCTACATCTTGATTTTTTTTCACTTATCTTTTTTTTTTTTTTTTTTTTTTTTGAGACGGAGTCTCGCTCTGTCGCCCAGGCTGGAGCGCAGTGGCCAGATCTCAGCTTACTACAAGCTCCGCCTCCCGGGTTCACGCCATTCTCCTGCCTCAGCCTCCCGAGTAGCTGGGACTACAGGCGCCCGCCACCTCGCCAAGCTAGTTTTTTATATTTTTTAGTAGAGACGGGGTTTCACCGTGTTAGCCAGGATGGTCTCGATCTCCTGACCTCGTGATCCGCCTGTCTCGGCCTCCCAAAGTGCAGGGATTACAGGATTGAGCCACTGTGACCGGCCACTTAACGTATCTTGAAAAAGGTTGTTCTCTATCAATACACAGGAGAATCTCGTCCCGTCCCCCGTTTTCTTTTTACAGCTGTAAGGTAGTTTTAGTCAGTTTTCTATTGATGACATATATGTTGTTTCCAATCTTGCAGCAAATTCTTTAGAAATACTTTTTATATACATGGTAGATTTGCTTTTGTGATGGGAGGGGAAAACTTGTAGAAATCAACATTGGAATGAGTTACAGGCTCATTAGTAAATAGCCATTCATTAATTAGACTAAAAACTGCTGCATTCTTTTTTTTTTTTTTTTTTTTTGAGATGGAGTTTCACTCTTGTTGCCCAGGTTGGAGTGCAATGGTGTGATCTTGGCTCACCACAACCTCTGCCTCCTGGGCTCAAGCGATTCTCCTGCCTCAGACTTTCAAGTAGCTGGGACTACAGGCGCGTGCCACCATGCCCAGCTAATTTTTGTATTTTTAGTAGAGACAGGGTTTCACAATGTTGGCCAGGATGGTCTTGATCTCTTGACCCTGTGATCTGCCCGCTTCGGCCTCCCAAAGTGCTGGGATCACAGGCGTGAGCCACCATGCCTCGCCTGCTAAATTCTCACATTGTGTCAGGCTGGTAAGGTAGACACTGTCCTCAAAAATCTCCTGCCTCATTCTCCTGCCTTAGCCTCCCGAGTAGCTGGGACTACAGGCGCCCGCCACCTGGCCCGGCTAATTTTTTATATTTTTAGTAGAGATGGGGTTTCACTGTGTCAGCCAGGATGGGCTCGATCTCCTGACCTTGTGATCCACCTGCCTCGGCCTCCCAAAGTGCTGAGATTACAGGCGTGAGCCACCGCACCCAGCCAACTGTAAAATGGTTTTAGTAATGGTTTCTATTTCACATGGTTGTGAGGATGCAATTAGTTAACATATGTAAAGCAAGCAAAATGTTGCTTCACACATAGTGCTATTATACATTTGATACTATTTACTTTAATATAAAATAGAACCAATTATATAAAGCAGAGATCACACATCTCACTACATTTGACCTCTAGCAGTCCTGTATCTATTACTATGCATGATGATGGGTTCCTATTGGAAAATCCCTATAACCAGCTACTTTATAAACAATTTTTATGCCCATTTCGGGAGGAATGTTATTAACTAGACATTCTATTGCAACAAAACCAAAAATGGACAAGTGGTACCTAATTAAACTAAAAAGCTTCTGCACAGCAAAAGAAACTATCAACAGAATAAACAGACAAGCTACAGAATGAGAGAAAATATTTGCAAACTCTGCATCCATCTAAGGTCTAATATCTGGAATTAAATAACCCCATTAAAAAATGAGCAAAGGACATGAACAGACACATCTCAAAAGAAGACATACACATGGCCAACAAGCATAAGAAAAAAATGCTCAACATCAACATCATTAATTATTAGAGAAATGCAAATCAAAACCACAATGAGATACCATCTCACACTAGTCAGAATGGCTACTATAAAAAGTCAAAAAATAACAGATGCTGGCGAGGTTGCAGAGAAAAGGGAAAGTTTATATACTGCTGGTGGGAATGTACATTAGTGCAGCCACTGTGGAAAGCAGTTTGGAGATTTCTCAAGCAACTTAAAACAGAAATGCCATTTGACGTAGCAGTCCCAATATTGGGTAATAACAGGAAGGAATATAAATCATTCTCCCATAAAGACACATGCATATGCATGTTCATCGTAGCACTATTCACAATAGCAAAGATATAGACTCAACCTAGATGCCCAACAATGGTGGACTGATTAAAGAAAATGTGGCATATATACACCATGAATACTATGCAGCTATGAAAAAGAACAAAATCATGTCCTTTGCAGCAAAGTGGATGGAGTTGGAGGCCATTATCCTAAGCAAATTAATTAAGGAACACAAAACTAAATACCACATGTTCTCACTCATAAGTGGGAGCTAAACATTGAGTACACATGGACACAAAGAAGGGAACAGGCACCAGGGCCTACTTCAGGGTAGGGTGGGACGAGGGTGAGGATCTAAAAACTACCTATCAAGAGCTGAGTGCAGTGGCTCACACCTGTAATCCCAGCACTTTGGGAGACCAAAGTGGGTGGATTACCTGAGGTCGGGAGTTCAAGATCAGCCTGGCTAACATGGTGAAACCCCGTCTCTACTAAAAATACAAAATTAGCTGGGCGTGGTGGCGCACGCCTGTAATCCCAGCTACTCAGGAGGCTGAGGCAGGAGAACTGCTTGAACCCAGGAGGCGGAGGTTGCAGTGAGCCGGAATCGTGCCACTGCACGCCAGCCTGGGTGACAGAGTGAGACTCTGTCTCCAAAAACAACAACAACAAAAAACTACCTATCAGGTGCTATACTCATTACCTGGATGACAAAATAATCTGTACACCAAACCTCTGCAACACACAATTTACACATGTAACAAACCTGCACAGGTACCCCTAAACCTGAAATAAAAGTTGGAAAATAAAATAAATAAGTAAATAAGAAGACATTCTAGAAATCTAGAGTCAAGGCTCTGTCCCTTGCTTATCTTACAAAGCAGACCTTATGTACTCTGAAACATTTTGTCTTACCTGTTCCAGGAGGTCCTTGAATAATAGCCAGTTCCCTTGTGAGAGCAAACTGCAAGGCTTCCATCTGGGAGTCATCCAGCTTCAGGGCTTCTTTTGAGGGCCACTGGCTAGGATCTAAGACATTAATTCTGGGATGTCTCAAGCCCTCGACATTTCTTAGAAATTCCCCAGTGGCTGAGGGATTCTCTATTAAGGGGGTAAAGTCATATCTGCCCCCCATTAGCAAGTACCTTGGCTCCTTCACATGAGAGTCACACTCCACGATATTCCTCTGAAAAGGGACATCTTCTTCCTGGACCTCCTGGAGTCCTTCCAGGACATGCCTGTAAGCCTCAAAGTATGCAGTTGTCTCCACCATGAGGAAAGAGTCAGAGGGCTGGACTTCTGCTAGCAGCTGTTGGCTCTGCTCATTGAAGCAGAGCTGGACAATTCCTCGACAGAGATCTTCCTGCTCCCTGTTAGATACAGTGGCAAAAAGAAATGTCTCAAAGTTGTCCTTGGACATGCATACCAAAGACCCATAGAGCAATCGTTTGGAATTCTGCCAGCGAACAAACTTCAGTGGTTTTGTGTCAAACTGCACCTTGTAGACTATGCCTGATGATGAACACATGGGGGTGATAATCCTGGTGTCAAAGTAGATTCGGATGTCATCAAACTTTCTCTTTCTCAGGCCCTGGTCTTCAAAGCTTTGGAGAAGTTCCAAAATGCCTTCCCGTAAAGGTCTGACGAAATCTTCTCGCAGGAGCCGGAAATGGGTATCCAGATAGATAGCAGTGCTGTCATATTTTCCAGAAATGATATTGGGGCGAAGGAAGGGCCTCTCATCCAAGTGCACTTCATTGTAGGTAGGGTAAACGGGCATGGTTCGGTAGCTCTCAACATGGTCTTCTGCCTCAGGCTGCACTAGAGTGTAAGTATCCACTCTCAAAGTGCCCTCTCGCCTCTTTTCCTGCAGATGTTCAATGATAGTCTGTACCTTTTCCAGGTTCTTCTCTGTCTCCTCTTCTATGTCAACACCAGAGGCTCTCAGAGCATTAAGAGAGGTTGGTAGGAGGGAAACCAGCATGGAAGTTTCCTGCACAGAGCTGGCAGGGAAGACACTTACAAGGTCCTGGAGGAGGGAGATGATGTTGCTTATGTGCTCTGGATACTGGTTTCGGATGTCAGGGATGGGTTCAGTGATCATCCCTACCACATAAGCAGGCAGGCAGACTTTGAGAAATTTGGAGTTTTTCAATATGCCCAGTACGTGGAGAACACTCTGACGATCCATTTTGGAGCTGCAAGCCTTCCGAAGAACCTGGCATATGAGCTCAAGGAAGTTAGATTTCATGGAAGAATGAGAAAGGAGTTCTTTCAGCCCTAAACTTGTGGCAAGTGTGATGACCACCTCAGAAGGGTCTTTCTGCAGAAGACTTTCTAAGAACTTGTAGCCCAGTTTCTTCGCCTGCTGTGGCTGTTCTGTAGGCTTCTGGTGGGGAGTCCGCCACTGCTGGAAGTTGTCATTGGACCATGGTGGTCTGCGGTTCCTACACTCCTGGTTGCCATTTCTCCACCTGGTGTCATTCTCCTGATCATGTCTTTGGTCTCTAGCTTCGTCACTGGCATGCCCCTCCTGGTTTCTTCTTCCTTGATGTGGGTTCCTGCCCATGGCCCTAAATCTCTCTTCCCTCTGCCAGTAAGCAGCAGGATGGTTGTTGGCCCTAGGATGCCTTCCAGGATGGCTGACTCCTCCTCGGAGAGCACTGGCTGGTGGGTTACTGGCCTGATTTCTAGCTCTTGGTGGTAACTCTCCATCCATAGGGCCTAAACACAATGAAATACTGAGTAACCACAAGAACCAAGTTCTGTTGGAAACCCAATAGAACAACAACGAACATGTTTTCATTTTCCAAAATAACTGAAGAGCTCAGGTTTTATATGATGAGAAAAATGGTTTCTACCAAGTCATATGATAAATGAAAGACAATTATTGTTGCTGTAGAGGTTAGGAAAATATTATTTTTCCAAAAGATGCAAAAGGGAAAAGGAATAAACATTTGTTGAGTATCTGATATGTGTTAGAAAATAAATACATAGGCCGGGTGCGGTGGCTCACGCCTGTAATCCCAGCACTTTGGGAGGCTGACGCGGGTGGATCACGAGGTCAGGGGATCGAGACCATCCTGGCTAACATGGTGAAACCCCGTTTCTACTAAAAATACAAAAAAATTAGCTGGGCGTGGTGGCAGGCGCCTGTAGTCCCAGCTACTCGGGAGGCTGAGGCAGGAGAACAGCGTGAACCTGGGAGGCAGAGCTTGCAGTAAGCTGAGATTGTGCCACTGCACTCCAGCCTGGGTGACAGAGCAAGACTCCGCCTCAAAAAAAAAAAAAGAAAATAAATACATACAGTATGTCTCATTGCTTCTAATCTCACCCCAGTACCAAATAACACTCAGAACATGAGTTTAGAGGCCAAACTGACTTGGTTCAAACCTTGGCCTGGCCACTTCCTTACTATATAACCTTCACCAAGTTGTATAATTTCTCTAAGTCTCAGTTTCTGCGTTTTTTTTTTTTTTTTAGATGGAGTCTCGCTCTGTCTCCCAGGCTGGAGTGCAGTGGCGTGATCTCGGCTCACTGCAACCTCTGCCTCCCAGGTTGGAGTGCAGTGGCGTGATCTCGGCTCACTGCAACCTCTGCCTCCCAGGTTCAAGCGATTCTCCTGCCTCGGCTCCCAATTAGCTGGGATTACAGACGTCCGCCACCGCGCCCGGCTAATTTTTATATTTTTAGTAGAGATGGGGTTTCACTATCTTGGCCAGGCTGGTCTTGAACTCCTGACATTGTGATCCACCCACCTCAGCCTCCCAAAGGGCTGGAAGTGCTGGGATTACTGGCATAAGCCACCGTGCCTGGCCGGGTTTTTATAAAGATTAAATGTTTATAAAGTGCTTAATATAGTACTGGACACATTAAAAACTCTCAATAAATGTTAGTTATTACTAGTAGCAGTAATTGGGAATATCCTATTGATTCTAAGGGGGCCACTGGTTCTACCACTAAACAATTATCACAGCCAACAGAGACATCAAGTGAAATAATATTACAAAGGGAAGTACTACCTGAATGCTGTCCAGCATCAGCAAATGCACTTTGAATGGGAAAGAGAAAGGTGGGGTTTCCTTTACTAAGATGTTTTTGAGCTAACGGACTGTGAAAGAAACTGAAAAATGAAACTCAAGTTTTCCTCCTTTCTGTAGCATGAACTTCACCCTCATAGTACTTACCAATGACCAACCCTTATACAGGAAGCCCAGCATACCCAAGTCCAGTATTTTTCACTTTCCTTTTTGCTAAAACTGATTCAGGGGCTGACCTAACTTAGCAGAATGACATGGAGATTTTAAAAACAAATAAAATATGACTGTATACAATGATTTGATTAAAAAGTTATAAAAGCTCTAAATGCATGTTATATTTGAGATGATTATACCATTTCCTGACATCAGATACTAAATCCATTTATGTACACTTTCCCTTGTTTTGCATTTTGTAGAGAATATTTTTTTTTAATTTTTTTTTTTTTTTGACAGGGAGTCTGGCTCTGTCACCCAGGCTAGAGTCCAGTGGCACGATCTCGGCTCACTACAACCTCCGCCTCCCAGGTTCACACCATTCTCCTACCTCAGCCTCCCGAGTAGCTGGGACTACAGGCACCCGCCACCACACCCGGCTAATTTTTTGTATTTTTAGTAGAGATTGGGTTTCACTGTGTTAGCCTGGATGGTCTCAATCTCCTGACCTCATGATCCGCCTGCCTTGGCCTCCCAAAGTGCTGGGATTACAGGTGTGAGCCACCGTGCCCGGCTGAGATTTCAATGTGACAACATAAAGGAATATTCAGTAAAATATAAATGATCTACAACTGAACCCTAAATTTGTACAATTGTTACTCACATATTTACTTTTCAAACTACCCCTAAAATCAGAAGAAAGTACTACTTTTAATATTTTTATCTGATTAGAAGACGCTATGTCGTGGAAGAATGGAAAATCGTATCATTTATTCTTTTAGCATTCATGGCTGGGTGTGGTGGCTCATGCCTGTAATCCCAGCACTTTGGGAGGCTAAGGCAGGCAGATAGCTTGAGCTCAGGAGTTTCAGACCAGCCTGGGCAACATGGAGAAACTCTGTCTCTACTAAAAACACAAAAATGAGCCACACATGACGGTGCATGCCTGTGGTCCCAGCTATTTGGGAGGCTGAGGTGGAATGACTGCTTGAGCCCAGGAGGTTGGGGCTGCAATAAGCCAAGATTGTGCCATGGCAATCCAGCCCGGGCAACAGAGCAAGACCCTGTCTCAAAACAAAAAAACAAACCATTCACATAGCTCATAAGAGCCCATAGTTCTTCCTCACTTGTTGCACAACTAAAACTCTTTGGAAAACACATTGCAAACTTCCGGAAAAACAGGAATCCATTTGGTTGTTCAGTTTTAGAAAGTGTTGAGCAAGCAGAGTAATTCCTTTAGTAGAGTGATGCTCTTGGAACTAATTTAGCTTTGGTGACTAGGATTCATGATCTGCACTATCCAATACAAAGCCATTAGCCACATGTGGCTGCTATGTTTGTGAAATGTAACTACTTTGAATTAAGACGTGTAAAACACACAGGAGATTTTGAAGGCTAGTACCAAAGACTGTTAAGCATTACATTAAAAATTTTTATGTTGATAGTATCTTAAAATGAGTATTTGAGGGAAATAAATATATGTGAATTATTAAAGTATGATAATAAACTATAGTCAATTATTACAATCAAATGATAATATTTTGGTTATACTGGGTTAAATAAGACATTATTAAATTACTAAATTTTATTAAATTGTCATCAAATTTAAAAAATAAATTCCAAGGCCGGGCGCGGTGGCTCACGCCTGTAATGCTAGTACTTTGGGAGGCCGAGGCGGGTGGGATCACCTGAGGTTAGGAGTTTGAGACCATCCTAGTCCAACGTGGTGAAACCCTGTCTCTACTAACAATACAAAAATTAGCCGGGCATGGTGGCAGGTGCCTGTAATCCCAGCTACTCAGGAGGCTGAGGCAGGAAAATCGCTTAAACCTGGGAGGTGGAGGTTGTAGTGAGCCGAAATCGTGCCACGGCACTCCAGCCTGGGCAACAGAGCAAGACTCCATCTCAAAATAAATAAATAAATAAATAAATTTCATCTGTTTCTTCTTACGTTTTAAAATGATGTTTCTAGAAAATAAAAAATTATGCTCTTGGCTTACGTTGTTTCTGTTGGATGCTGCTCTACACCAAACATTACTTCCCTTTCTGAAACTCTATCACTGTTTTTGTTACAGTGAACTGCATCCATTCATCAGTTCTTTTAGGAAAAGCGGAGGGTTGGCTATTTTTCACAGTAATTCATGCTGTAATTAAGAAATAAGTTATTCTTTTTTTTTTGAGACAAGGTCTCTGTCACCCAAGCTGGAGTGCAGGGGCCAGATCATAGTCCAGAGCAACCTCTGCCCTCTGCACCCACCCCTTCCTGAGGTTCAAGGGATCCTCCCACTTCAGCCTCCCCAGTAGCCTAAGTAGCTGGGACTACAGGCACACAGCACCATGTGGCTAATTTTTATATGTTTTGTAGAGAAAGGCTATTACCATGTTGCTCAGGCTGGTCTCAATCGCCTGGGCTCAAACAATCCTCCTGCCTCAGGCTCCCAAAGTGCTAGGATTATAGACTTTAGCCACTGCATCCAGCCATAGTCATCCTTTACTTGAGAGATGCAGATAATCTTAGGTAGGCCTGCTCATTCATAGAGAGCCCGATTTCCTTTTCTTATTACTAGAATTTCCTTCTCATTAGGTAGGAAACCTTGCTTACCTCTGTGGTTGGTATGGGAATTCCTGGGCCTGGCATCCAGACGAGGTCTTCTCTCCTCCATGTCTGAGTCACCTGAATTCCTCCACGTTACTTTCTGTTATCTGGAAAACTGTAAATGTTGAGTTATCAGTGTCCTCGAAACACAGCATCTAGCAGCAAAAACCCCAACATCATCAAGCCAGTCCTTCTGCCTTTGTTAACATTTTAATGATTTGTTAACTAAGGGTTAAATACAGATTTTAATCTAGAGCACAAGTGCTCAACTCTGCAAATGCCCAATTATGATATAAAATATTAAATTCACAATTTAGCTAATTTCAAGAGATAGAATTCCCCTTTCTTTTACCCTTGCACTTTCTTGGGGTAGAGGGAATGTCATCAATTCCCATTCAAAACTGCTGTTTCGTTTATGCCTTTAGCCAAGTTACTTAATCAGTTGCTAGGTTTCATTTTCCTTTCCTAAGAAGCAGATAATATTGTTGCCAGGGCAAAAAGGAGTACATTTTTGTTAATCCAAAATCATGTAGTCACCACCCTATCTGGCATTTACAAATATGCCACTTACATAGTACCCAAATAGCTTGCAGTACCCTATAGTTTATAAATAATTAGTGAGCAGTTATCCCCTTAGCCTACTCTTTGGAATGGAGCCAAATGATTAAGCTCTCTGCTCTACTGAATCAAGAGAAAGAAATTACATGTTTCAATAACCAGGAGGCTTGGCAACTACGAGGTGCTGTTTCCTCAGGACCAACTGGAAATCTGATATTCTTTCTTCCTCCTCGTTCTTCTACTTTGATGATTTTTGACACTGCTCCTATAAGAGGAAGAGGAAGCCCCTTTAAGGGAACTTCTCAACCCAACTCATACACATTGTGTGGGCTGGGTCTAAGGAAAGAGTGGGTGACTCAGAGTCCTCAGCAAAGGGATTTTTGAGACGGTCTTCACCGAGTTTTAAAATATTCATACTTGGAAACTGTGACTACATTTGGCATTATATGAGGGGCAGCTTTTATCCTCATCTGAAAAAGGAGTCTCTTTTCTTCCCCATGGGAATATCTCTGGTAACTCCCCTCCCTCATCTTATCAAACCCAGCCCTCCTGGCGCAGGCTCAGTATTTAGAGTTTGTTTGTTTATTTTCAATTCTCCGAGGGGAAAATTCCTTCTTCCCCTGGTTGAAAAATGCTAAAATAGAAACTCCAGAAAATTTAAAGAAACGGAAGAAAAAAAGAAATGTTAAAAAGAAAAGGCAAGGAAAGGAAGGGAGGAGTAGATATGAACAGGAAATGCTGGGATCGAAAACAGACTGAAGTGTTTTTTTGGGGGGTGAATCAAGGCCTAAAGGGCACGAAGAAGAAAATCAGTGATGATCAAGCTGGCCTGGGGTCAGAATGAGAGGGGCTGGTCATCACCAGGGTGGGACGCAGGAGGCTGAGGCCGGAGGCAGAGCTGGGTTTGGGGAAAGTCTCCAGGCTCCTGGGGAATCCCACTGTCCCTAATGGAAATGTTATGGGGTCAGGGAGCGCCAAGGCTGTGAGGTGGCGGGGTTATGGGGGCCTCCCGGAGAGGGTGGCAGGGAGCAGCTGGGGGTTCTTGCTGAGGACGGAGGTGGGGGGCAGGGAGCAGGCTGAAGGGGGTGCCGAGGTGCTTTGTAGAAGAGGGGGATTGATAAGGTGACAGGTGGTGAGGCCGGAGGAATGAGGGGGTGCGAGTGGCAGAAGGGAGGGCACAGGCAGGGATGGGGGTAGAGGAGATCGAAGTGTTGAGGGCAGAAGCGGTGATGGTGTCGGGGGTGCTGGGGAGAGCGACGGGCCAGCTGAGAGGGGATGGGGACACTAAAGAGAGTACAGGGGAGCCGAAGGGGCGACGGGGCGCTGAGATGGGCCAGGGGCTGAGTGGGTGACGGGGCGCTGAGTGGGTGATGGAGGTCTGGGTCTGAGGAGGCGACGGGCGCTGAGAGGCGCTCTGAGTGGGTGCTGAAGCCCCCGGGGGCTAAGGAGGTGACAAGGCTGAGTGGGTGACGGGGGTCTGGGGGTTGAGGGGGCGACGGGGCGCTGAGGGGCCAGGGGCTCTGAGCGGGTGACGGGGGCGCTGGGGGCTTGAGAGGGTGACAGGTCTTCTGGGCAGAAGCAGTGGCCGGGCGGCGCGGGCGCCGGGGGTCGCGGCGGGGCAAGGAAGAGGCAGGGGCAGGGGCAGTTGCGGGGCCACTCACCCGGCTCCGGCGCGTCCTTTCACTGCCGCCGGCGAGTACTGGGGCTTCGGCCCAGGCAGGTCGGTGGCCCCGCCCGGCGCCGCGCACTTTCGGTTTCCGTTCCCCGCAGACCCTGGGCGGAGCCGGGCGGGCGGCCCAGAGGAGGAAAAGGAGGAGGTGGGGGCCCCGGGTGGAGAGCGCGAGGGCCTGGCCCAGGCACAGCCTGCGCCTCCGCCCTCGAGGAGGGCGTCACCTCAGCTCCCCCGGGCGGCGGAGCCGGCGGGCTCAGGCGGGCGCGGTGGAGGGAAGCGGACCGCAGGGGGCGGGATGACTGCGCCCAGAGCCTTTGCGGGCCTCAGCCGGCCCCAGAGGAAGGGGGACCCGTCGAGCGGTTTGGTGCGTGTGAAGCGCGACATGGCGGGGAAGCAGACGAGCCCGGGTGGCCCAGCGTGTACAAGGAAGGGGGCGGGGCTAGATGCGGCCTTGACATCTACTAGAGCGCCTCGGGCTGTGCGGCTCGAGACTACATTTCCCAGGGGGTCCCGCGCGGAGCGGGCGGAAAAGAGAACGCCTCGGATCCAGTGCGCAGGTGCGAGAGCCATCCTTGGTTATATAAGGGAGGTTTAGGCGACCGTTCGTTCCTTTGCGTTGGGGGCGCTCGTAGTGTGGTGGTTGTACGGCTTACAGCCAGGCTTCATACGCTATCGTCCTGCCCGTGAGTTCCCGTTTTGTGGGTGGTGAGTGGAAACTCCATGTTCTTCGTTGGAGACCCCTGGTCCTCCCTTCCCTTCTTTGTGCCATGGTCTCCGCGGCCAGCCGTAATTTCCCTCTCGTGGCTTCTCCGGCTCTGATCCCAAACAGGCCTTAAGGGCGTGGGAGAAATGAGTTTATAGAGCTGGAAAAGCCAGTGCCTTCTGCACGGGCCTGAGAAGCCCTTGGCTGGTGTAAATGATGACTTTTCACTTTTTTCCCCATCAGATCGACAATGCTGACGTCTTATATTTTGCCAGTTAGTTCTGATACATCGGCCTCTAAAGGCTTGGTCTTGTTCATTTCTGACCGTGGGAAGATGGCGGTTGACGCCCTTTATTTGTTGGTTCACAGGTTAGAGCAGCCAGCGGGTATAGAATGGATTTTGGAGGAGGGAGTCACCACTGGGCCTCCAAGGAAGCCACGTGCAGACATCTACAACCTTCGATCTCCTGACGAGTAAGACTTTGTCTCCTATGGGCCTACTGTAGAAAACACGTGCTTTGAGAAGCTTTAGCTTCCTGGGAAAACGTGGGATTTAATAAAGCAGTTTTTATCGAGTACCCGTTAGGTATTTATTTATTTATTTATTTATTTATTTTTTTTTGAGACGGAGTCTCGCTCTGTCACCCGGGCTGGAGTGCAGTGGCCGGATCTCAGCTCACTGCAAGCTCCGCCTTCCGGGTTCACGCCATTCTCCTGCCTCAGCCTCCCGAGTAGCTGGGACTACAGGCGCCCGCCACCTCGCCCGGCTAGCTTTTTGTATTTTTTTAGTAGAGACGGGGTTTCACCGTGTTAGCCAGGATGGTCTCGATCTCCTGACCTTGTGATCCGCCCGTCTCAGCCTCCCAAAGTGCTGGGATTACAGGCCCCGTTAGGTATTTAAAGTGTTCTGACGGCCGGGCGCTGTGGCTTACCCCTGTAATCCCAGCACTTGGGGAGGCTGAGGCAGGTGGGTCACCTGAGGTCAAGATTTCGAGACCAGCCTGGCCAACGTGTTGAAACCCCGTCTCTATTAAAAATACAGAAATTAGCTGGTTGTGGTGGTGGGCCCTTGTAATCCCAGCAACTCGGAAAGCTGAGGCAGGAGAGTTGCCTGAACCCGGGCGGCGGAGGTTGTAGTGAGCCGAGATTGCGCCACTGCACTACAGCCGGGGCAACAGAGTCAGACTCCCTCTCAAAAAAAAAAAAAAATGTTCTGAATGTTTTATTCTCACAACTTAACTATTGGACCTAGGTTTCTGGTGAAGAAACAGGTTTAAGAGAAATGCCTAAAGTGGAAGAACCTTGTTAATGAAAAGGCGTTTAACATTTTAATGCCACTTAAACATCTTTTTGGATTCCATTCTTCCTGTGTGTGGGGCACTTAAATTTCCAAGTGGAGGGGTGATTTATTGACATATTTTGGAAAGCCAAATGTGTTTTTCTGTTGAACTAGCCCCTCAAACCAGTGCCCGACTACATAACTAATATTTTTGCTGGAGTCCAGGAGTGAGGCATTTATAAAGTCTGGGCTTCATGGGAACACATGTGAAGCTTATTGTTCCAGATTGTTCTTTTGTAAAGTAACTTGTGTTAAAATGCAACCTCTTGGCACTCGTTCACTTCCCAACTCAGTAAATGCCAACTACTTCCTCAACTCTTCCAGCCACACTGGCTTCTATCATGGGCCTATATACTCAAATAGAGTGGAAGCACCGAAGACAGGGGTGTTTGTTTTGTCTACTAAATTATTGCCAGTTACAGGATACAACACAGTAGTGCTTAAACCCTGCATGCAGATTTGCAGATACCAAACATACCAACTAAATCTTACTCCTCATGGCTTTCAAATCTTACTCCTCACTCAAGAACTTCCTGCTGGCATATATGATGACTTAGCTTTTTTCCCCGACAGATCGACCATGTTGATCTAACTTTTCTAAGCCAGTTTCTGTCTGATATGCCAGCTTGAGTAGCTCCTTTGTCCCATCTCCCCTGGGCATCTAACTGATGGGAGCTTATTTTTCTGTTTTTTTTAATTTCAGGTTTATTGTTGGCCAAAACCAGGCTTTGACTGAACCAGGATGAATGCGGGTGTTGGGAATAGAATATATATATACATATAAAACCGGTAAGTGGTGCCAACATGTCTTCCTTGGCTGAGTAGACATAGGCTCTATGGAGGGGGTTGTAGCTGCTTTTCAGTGTGGGTTTGTCACCCTACTTCCTGTATGACTCAAATGTGGCCTTTGCAGCTGATGATACAGCTTCTTTCCCCATCAGATCGACCCTGTTGATCTCTACACTATTGGCCAGTTTTGTCTGATGCATTGGCCCCAGTAATAACTCATATCTTTGTTTTCTGCTTATCTTTATCAGAGATTATTGCTTGTTCATGGGAATTGGGCTTCTCTTTTTCCCAGCATTCAGATGGCTTATTTTGATCTATTAACTTTCTATAGGTTGGGAGCCACGTGCACCAGTGTGTTGATCTTGGCTTGATTCAGTCAGGTGAGGTTTCTGCTTTCTAGCTGTCAAACCCCACAGCAAAATTTGTCCAACTGGGCCTAACTTCAGGACCCATTTCCAAGTTGGGTGTAAAACTGGAAGAATAAGTCATTAGGACTGACTTTCTCAGCAAGGCAAATTTACTTCTGCTGGAGGGTGTTGCTAGCATTCCTGGCAAGAGCACACCGAACAAAACAAGAGAGACATTTTTTATCCCTAATGCAAGTAGTCCCGGTTTCTGTGTTCTATCCCCATTGGCTGGAGTCTACAGCACAATCTAAACTAGTCCTGATTGGCTATTTTAAACAGGAGGGGTGTAGGTTACAGCTGTGGGAAGGGCAGGAAACTTGTTTACAGAGCGGGTTGCTAGGAGTGAAGGGGACTTTTCCAAATAAGGAACAGGATACAGGTTGAGATTGGCCAGAGAAGTTGTTTATAGAATGGGTAACTAGGAGCAGGCAGGTATGAGGAAGTTGACCTTAAGAATAAGGAAGAAACCCATTGTATCTAACAATTTCCCCCTTTTGATTTTTATAATTCTTTCTCTTGAGACTTTTTTAGCATGTCTTTGTTCCTCTTGGTCCTCAAATTAGAAACTTACCTGAATAAGGCGAGGAAGGATTGAGGAAGATTTTGGTGATAGCTGTTCAAATAAGCTTTTGTATTAATCCTGAGATACAGGGTATGATACAGCCTCCTGCAAGAATGAGCTGATGGCAAGAGAGGTGATGATTGAGGACGTAAATCCTTTCCCTTTGCCAAACGATTTTTCCATTAAATTCGTGAAGAGGTCGTTTATTCCAGAATTTTTAGCTAGCTTATTGGATAAAGTAGTAAGTTCTTGTGCCTTTGTTATGGTTCCATCAGGAGCAGTATTATTAGGGATAAAAGTACAACGCTGGGTTCCAATCATGACACAAACTACACCTTTCTCTGCTAGTGTCATGTCTAATGCTATTGTGTTTTCCCGGGCCATTTGACTGGTGGGCCCTAATTGTTCAGCTATTCCCTTAATAGCATCCCTAGTATAATTAATGAAATGTTGCTGGCTTACCTTTTTTTTTTTTTTTTCTTTTGAGTTGGAGTCTCAATGTCGCCCAGGCTGGAGTGCAATGGTGCAATCTCGGTTCACTGCAACCTCTACCTCCCGGGTTCAAGCTACTCTCCGTCCTCAGCCTCCTGAGTAGCTGGGCTACAGGTGTGTGCCATCACGCCTGGCTAATTTATTGTATTTTTAGTAGACATGGGTTGTCACTATGTTGGTCGGGCTGGTCTCAAACTCCTGTCCTCGTGATCCACCCGCCTCGGCCTCCTAAAGTGCTGGGATTACAGGCGTGTGCCACTGCTCCCAGCCCAATCTATTTTTATTTAGAGTTGGCCACCAGAACAACATGGATTCAAACCTTGTAGCTATTTGATTTAGGGCCTTAAGTTTATCTGGTATCTATATAAACATGAGAGTCACGAGGGACATCCATTGTTTTATGATGTTTTGTTTTTATGTTTTATGTTTTCTGGTTGAAATGCCAGGGTGAAAGGGAGTAGCCAATTGGATTAGAGCACAAGTGCCACTCCAAGTTACTTGGCATAGTATTCAGTAATGGTCCACCACAATACCACCATACATCTGCTAGAGGATGAATAAGGGACGACTGATTGGTAAGCTCCTGGAAGGGCTTAAGCTCACTGCGTCTCGTTAGGTCTCCAAGGAATGCCAAGTTCTCCCCCTGTGAGAGAGACAGGTAAAATTGGCATTGGAAAGAGGGATGCTGGATGACCCTCGGGGGCTGACCTGCAGAGTGTTGGACTTCAGGGAACAGCAGCGAGTTTGGCATAGCTTATTGCCCCAGGCTGTGCGGTCTTGGAAGAGAGCTACCATGCAACTCATGCCTCAGCGGCTGGAGGGCCATCTGAGTGGAAAGGGGACAATCTGGGGCTCTGGTTTACCATGTGCATAAGCATAACAATCGCTTTGTTTAGAGAGTGGACAGAATATTTAATCCATTTCACCCAGGCATTTGCATCTTGGTACCCTGTTACAGTTGGTAGAGTTTGCTTTAGATCTTTAACCTCTACAGTGGTCACTTTGGTTTTGTCATTGGGTGTTTGTTTAGAAGAAGGGGATGGAGGAGCAATGAAGCGCATTTCGAAAGATCTCATGGGGTCTATCCCTAATGTTGCAGCTCCCATGCAAGGGTCGTGTGAGGATTTAGAATTTATCTTGGAACGGCAGATATACTTTTCTGAGGAGGCCAGCTGCCTCTGGTTTTGGAGATCCCCACAGGGTATGACAAGACAGGCATCAAACGTGATTGAGGTGAGCTTGATCTAGTTACATTAATGATAAGGTGGCTGACAGTAGAGAGAGGAAAAAAGAAGGCAGTATAAGAGGGTTAAAGTTTTCTTAGCTTTAGGTTGGTAGAAATTGGTCCTGGAACAATAGCGCATGACTCTGAAGATGGCGATCCTCTTTTGACTCAGGTATGATGGGTCCACCCCTTTTCGGCGGTTCGGGCTGTTGTTTCAGTTGTTAGGAGTACTAGGTATGGTCCTTTCCAAGCTGGCTCAAGTTTTCCCTCCTTCCAGCTCTTGATGAGGATGTGATCTCCAGGCTGGTATTGATGTGCCAGGAATGTAAAGGTGGCATCTGTGCTAAAAGACCTTTAGTTCTGAGGGAAGAGAAAGTGGAAGATAAACCAAGTATATAATTTGATCCTTTGTTTCAAAGGTAGGAATGTCAGTAGTAGAGTGTAAATAAGGCAGTCCTCTCACAGAGAGGCCAGTATCTTTCCGAGGGGCAGTCCTGATTTAATTAGGTGAATCTGTAAACCCTTGGGGTAGGACTCTGCATTGGTATTGCTGCTTCCATCCAGAATGAGGATTTTTCCCACTCAAAAGTACATCTCTTGTCTTCAGCCAAGGGGCATGCCCAGAAGGCATCTTTTAAATCTATTACTCTGAACCATTCTGCTGAGGATGGTGTAAGGATTGGGGACAACAGGGTGGGTAGTCTGGACTATTTGGTTGGTAGCCCAGAGATCTTGTGCTAGTCGATATGACCTGTCTGATTTCTTTACAGGTAATATTGGGGTGTTATAGGGGGACATAGGGTTCAGGGAGTCGTCCTGAATGAGACCTTCAACTCCAGGCTTTAAGCCTATTCTGCCCTCTAGGGGAATGGGATATTGCCTTTTTCTTACTATTTCCCCTGGGGTCTTTAGCTTTATATGCATTGGAGTGACTTGAAGTCTTTCCTGATTTTTTTTTTTTTTTTTTTTTTGAGTTGGAGTCTCGCTCTGTCACCCAAGCTGGAGTGCAATGGTGTGATCTTAAGCTCGCTGCAACCTCTGCCTCCTGGGTTCAAGCAATTCTCCTGCCTCAGCTTCCTGAGTAGCTGGGATTACAGGCGCCTGCCACTGCGCCCAGCTAATTTTTGTATTTTTAGTAGAGATGGAGTTTCACCATATTGGCCAGGCTGGTCTCAAACTCCTGACCTCATGATCTGCCCATGTTGGACTCCCAGGTGCTGGTATTTCAAGCGTGAGCCAGCACGCCCACCCTCCCTGATTTCTTTTTCCTGCCTGTACATCAAGACAAATGTATTTTTCTTCTGTGGTGGTAAGTAGATTTAATGAGATGAGGAATCTCTCTGGGCCAACATGTGAGCCTATACCTAGTTTTAGCATTAAGTCTCTTCCTAATAAGTTAGTTCCAGCCTCAGGGACTAACAGGAATTTAACATGGGCTGATCGAGTTTTGTATTTGATCTCTGTCTTTTTAAGATTTTTGCTTTAAATCTTTTATCCCTGAGATAGAAAGTTCTTCTGAAGAATAGGTGATAGATGGGAGGGAACAGCGCGAGTTGCAGCTGAATCTGTTAAAAAGGTTGTAAGTTCACATTTGGGTCCCACCTCTAAATTTATCAAGGGCTCTTGGTGGGACGCAAGGTAAAAGAGACAGAGCCCCTGACCTCCCTGTTCTTCCTCAAAGGCTGTAAGTGGAATGATATTTTTCCTCTTTTTCCCATTTGGGGCATTTTGAAGTGACCTACTCTTCCACATTTGAAACATTGTTTTCCCCTCTTCCCTGTCCTGCACTGTGACTTCCAGGTTTTATTCCCTTACTCCTTGTATAGAGTTTGGTTGCTGGTGGCCTAGAGGGTTTATAAGTTTTACTTCCTTGTGTCTCCTATTGCAGAGCTCCCTGTCGTAAGGTAGACAGCATGATTTTTGCCTTTTGTTTCTGCTGTTCTTCGTCCCTATTTACATGCTTCTCTAAGAAGTTTGTCTCTGGGACGATCTTTCCAATTCTCTATCTTTTGTAGTTTTTTTAGGGATGTCTGGCCAAATCTTAGTAGCTTTAGCATCCCTTGTCGCAGTGGGTCTTCCATTTCTAAACCTGCATATTGTCTCATCTGTTCTTTAAGCCTATTTAGGAATTCCATGGGTCCTTCATCCATCCCTTGTATGTTGAATGCTCAGGAAATATTCTCAGTTCAGGATACTGACTCCCAAACTCCCCTGACTATCATATCCCTAAGGTCTCTCATTTTCTCGGTGAGCTGCGTTGTTACTCCACTGGGATTTTGGGCTGGGAATTTTTGCTCTGCAGCAGGAACCTTTTGACCAGTAGGGTGTTCATGTTCCCAGACTACCATAGCAACCCTATGGATCATAGTTCTTTTAAGAAGGAAATGCCTAAAATGGACATAAGCTTGGCCCAACCATACAATTGGGGCCCTAAAAATTGATCAATTTGATTTTCTACCTCATAAGGGTCATCTTAACAAGGGCTTGAGTGTTTTTTTAGATTTGGGACTTCTGAGCTGGTTAAGGGGACATTTATGACGCTGATGCCTCCTCCCAAGGGGAAGAGTGTTGGGGCCGATTGGCTATGTTAAACAGGAGGGGTGTGGGTTACAGCGGTGGGAAGAGCAGTTTACAGAGCTGGTTGCTAGGAGTAAGGGGGACTTTTCCAAATAAGGAACAGATGCGGGTTACAGGTTGGAATTGGTGGGAGAAATGTTTACAGAATGGGTAATTAGGAGTGGGAACGTATGAGGAAGTTGACCAAAGAACAAGGAAGTTAAACTTTGAAGAGAAACCCATCATACCTAACAGTCTTGTAAGAAAGGATGACAAAGTGATTGAACATTGGGTGGAGCTAATTTTCCCTGGCCAATGCACTTAGATAAGGAGCTCCAAGTTGTATTTAAGTTGGGAGTCAATTTACTTAATTCTTGTGAGGTTCAGGTGTAAGATTCCTCATACTACTGCCATGAGCCACCCTAGCTCCTTGTTACATGGGCCTGTTAACATGGCAGCTTTGTCAATGAGCGAACCCGGGAGAGACAGACATAGCAGAGACAGATGTTTGAAGTCTACACCTTCCACCCCCTTTAAAGAGAAAGTAACACCACTCCTTTTCTGTGTCCCTTGGGGACACTGCCTCCATGTCTGGTCACATGGCTGGAATTTACAGCAGATAAGCATACTGCGGTCTGAGACATGATTGTATGCTTTCCTTCTGCTGACCTTTACAATCACTCAATAAATTGCATTAACACAGGGAAGTTCTTTCACCAAATACCTGTGTTGCAAAGCTTGCCATCATAGATGAGGAGTGGCTCGTGATAATTCTCCAACTTTTACATAAAAAAACCAAAACCTCAAAGAAATTGTAGTTCATGTCAGTTAGTGATGATTCATCTTAGAAGTATTTTGTTTATGGATGTATGAATGTGCATAGTTCACTAAAGTCCAACATTCATGTAATAAGACTTCTTGCATATAAAATGACCCTCTAAGATGTTAAATAGATCCTAAGCCTGGTATAACTTTATTAAAGTATCCTTATTTGCCCCTAAAATGTCTTTAGTACACATTACTTTTGGGTTGTCTCTTGAATGAACACAAAGGTATCTTTGTGTCTCTCATTTCTTTTAAGAAAATGGGGTCTCTCCAGCACCCAGGCTGGAGTGCAATGGTGCAGTCATGGCATACTGTGTCCTTGATCCTCCTGCCTCAGCCTCCCAAGTAGCTGGGACTAAAGGCACACACTGCCATGCCTGGCTAATGTTTTACTTTTTTGTAGAGTTGCAGCCTTGCTACGTTTACCCAGGCTGGAGTGTAGTAGCTATTCACAGGCATGATTGCTTGAAACTCAAGGCCTCAAGGGAAACTCCCACCTCAATATCCTCCGTAGCTGCAACTACAGCCACACACCCCACTGCTCAGCTTCTCATCCTTTAAAAGATTTTTACTGGTAGTGTCCTCATTCTGGGTTTCTGTCTTCTGTGTTTACTGTGACATGAAGTCATTTTTAGATGAAGGTTAAACGTTTTGCCAACACAGGTACAATATGGGATTCAATAAAAGTACAGAATTAGTTGTCTTATTAGAGACTGGGAAGTTTCCCTGCTCCTTTTATCAGTACTTGGCTATACCGATAAAGGGGATGGGCTTGGAGTGACCAGGTCTTAGTCACATACATATTTTCATACCCTCAACAGGAAGCACTATAGACCAGAATGGAGCATTGATTGTAATCCACCTTCTTTCTTAGAAACTGGCGAAGGAATATGAGAGGAGTCCTCTGGAAAGAAAAGAACAGACCCTGTGCTTTCATGAAAGTGAAGATCTGGCTGAACCAGTTCCACAAGGTTATTTTATACATAACCTGGGTTTAAAAGGCTGTGCCCACTTTGAAGAATGTCATTGTTAGACTTTGCTGAAATTTCTAACTGCCTACCTGGATAGAGAAAATAAAATCTTTTAAATCAAAATGCTGTTTGTTTGGCCATTGGAGATAACCATTGAACAGGAATAACAAGTAGTAGTTGGGTATTTGCAGTTTCATTTGGTTTTAGTTTTTTGAGGGGAAAATCACCCTAGTGGGCAGTTGGTTTCTGTGGGCAAAGCATGGCTTTCCACAGGTGTTAAGTGCCTCATGATTGGCTTCTGCATTGGAAACCTAAGAATAAGCAAGCACACTTGGGCCAGAATTCGAACTCCAGGGGCAGAGAAGCAGAGGGTCAATACAAAGGTATCTCACTTGTATGCTTATACCTGTGCAAGATTGTATATGTTAAATCGTGGGTATTGGGCCTTAATGGTTGCATGAGATGAGTAAGGATGATTTGGGCTATGGTATTTGTGTTTATAAACTTCATAGAAAATTGCAAATATAGGCTGTATCATTTATCAACGATGATTTTTTTTAATTTAAAATAATACACACTGAATAATTTTTAAGTATCTTAAAATATCACCTCAAAGATGGGACCTCTAAATTTTTTTTTTTTTTTGAGGCGGAGTCTCGCTCTGTCTCCCAGGCTGGAGTGCAGTGGAGTGATCTCGACTCACTGCAAACTCCGCCTCCCAGGTTCACACCATTCTCCTTCCTCAGCCTCCTGAGTAGCTGGGACTATAGGCGCCTGCCACCACACCTGGCTAATTTTTTTGTATTTTTAGTAGAGATGGGGTTTCACTGTGTTAGCCAGGATGGTCTCCATCTCCTGACCTTGTGATCTGCCCACCTCGGCCTCCCAAACTGCTGGGATTACAGGCGTGAGCCACTGCGCCTGGCCTGGGACCTCTAGATTTCTAAAATGGCTCCTGGTATTGACTCAGAATCCCCTCCCCTTGACTAGGCTGGACCTAGTGTAACTTCTGAGTCTTACTAGCTCTTTTTCTTATTCTCCTTAGCTTGCTCACTTTTTTTTTTTTTTTTTTTTGAGATCTCAGCTCACTGCAACCTCTGCCCCCTGGGTTTAAGCAAATTCTCCTGCCTCACCCTCCCAAGTAGCTTGGATTACCACGCCTGGCTAATTTTTACATAGTTAGTAGAGGGGGTTCACCATTTTGGCCAGGCTGGTCTTGAACTCCTGACCCCAAGTGATCTGCAGACCTCTGCCTCCCAAAGTGTTGGGATTACAGGCATGAGCCACCACGCCTGGCCTAGCTTGCTCACTTTTAAATAAGCTGCCATGTTGGGAGAGGCCAATGTAGCAATCAACTGAGGGTGAACCATTAGTGTGGGAGGAGTAATCCAACAACCATGTAAGTTTGTAAGTACACATGGTTGTTGGATTACTTTCTATAGCGGAGGCTTGATGTCTGCCACCCCAGCAGACTTCTCAGAGATGCTTGTGAGAAACCTTGAAACAGGACCCACCCAGATTGTGCGTGGATTTCTGACCTATGGGAAATGTACTTCAAGCCACTAGGTTTTGAGATAACTTGCTACAAAGCAGTAAATTCACAACTCTGTAATGCCCACTCTAAAGGTCCTGACATGGGCATCTCCATTACCTTAGTCATTACCTAAGTCATCTCCATTACCTAAGTCTACTTCAGTTTCTCTGCACAGCATTTGAAGCGTTTATGTCTGGCCCCAATCTGCATTTTCATACTTAACATGCATTTGACTTAACATGTCCAAAACTAGATGCCTGATGCTTCACTCCCCTAACCCCATTCCCTACAAGTCTGTGCTTCCTATAATCTTCCCTTCCCAGGTATTGGCGACACCAGCAGTCCAGCTGGTCAGGAGCTATGGAATCAACCTCATGTACCCTGTGAATCCCCTCAGCAAATCCTATTGGTTCTACCTTCAAAATACGTCTGAAACCCACCCCCTCTTAGCATCTTCATTGCTACCACCTTGGTACAGACCATCAAACAAGCTTGGAATACCGGTCTCTACTTCAACCTTTGCTCCCTACAGTCAATTCAGATGGAACCAGAGCGATCTGTGAAAACCTGAATTAGGTATGGAGCTCTTTGCTCAGAAGCCTCCAGTGTCTCCCCACCTCACACAGTAAAAGCCAAAGTCCATTAGGGCCTACATGACCTTCCCCTTCCCTTTACCTCCCAACTTTATCTCTTCCCTTTCAATCTTAGCCACGTGGGCCCCCTGACTTCTCCATTCCTTTAGGATTATTCCAACCTCAGTATCTTAGCACTTGTTTTTCCCTCTGCCTGGAATGACCAGCCCTAGACCTGCAGAGCTTTGCATGGCTGTCTGCCTTGCGTCTTTCAGGTATTTGCTCAAATATCCCCTCTGGGGAACCAATCATCTTCCTTATCACTTTCTATTCCCTTACCTGGTTTTTAATTTTTTTAAATAGAGACTATGTTGCTCAGGCTGGTTTCAAACTCCTGGGCTCAAGGGATCCTCCCTATTTGGCCTCCCAAAGTGCTAGAACTACAGGCATGAGCCACCATGCCTGGCCATGTTTTTACCTACTGCCTAACACATACTGCCTATGCGTATGGTATATATATACATGTGTATATACATCTGTATATGTGTATAGTGTGTTATACAGCTGGTAAGTGGCAGAGCATGCATTTGGTTCTGCCAGTCTGGCTCTTGTATTTCTGGGGTTTTTGTAGACGGAGTCTTGCTCTGTCCCCCAGGCTGGAGTGCAATCTCGGCTCCCTGCAACCTTCGCCTCTTGTGTTCACACAATTCTCCTGTTTCAGCCTCCTGAGTAGCTGGGATTACAGACACCCGCGCAGTGTGTCTTAATTTTTGTATTTTTAGTAGAGGTGAGTTTTCACCATGTTGGCCAGGCTGGTCTCGAACTCCTGTCCTCAAATGATCCACCTGCCTAGGCCTCCCAAAGTGCTGGGATTACAGGAGTGATCCACTGTGCCTGGCCTGGCACTTGTATTTGTAACCCTTGGCTTAATTGCAGCATGTTACTTAAATGCAGTCTAATGGATACAGGGAAGAGATAATTTCTGGCTCTTAAAAGCTCAAATGCTTTTGCTGGATTTCTGTGTTGATGAGATACCACTGAGGTCAGAAATGGCCCCAAATACCTGCCAGCCAAGGGCCAGCTTCCTGGAGAACTCCCAGCCACACCTATAGTCTCAGCTTTGCTGTTGCTTTTTTGAGCTCCAAGGTAGTTGTAGGCCTCTAATGATCAAACTATTTGCAACCCGTCTCTAGCTTTAGCTCCCACGAGTCCCACCAAACATTTGATGCTTCAGTCTAGTTTTAGCTCTTCGTCTTCTTGACTGAGGAGTCCTTTCCTTCTATAAGCTTCAGTTTCCTCATCTGTGAAATGAGGTTTATTGGGGGCTTGCCACGTGCTGATATTGTGCTATTACCTTATTTAATCTATACCCCAACTCTGTTATTACCCTATTTTATAGATAGGAAAACAGGCTCAGGGAGGTTTGGTGAGTTCATACACCTTGAAGGTGGTTCTTGGAAGCTGGGATGTGAACCAGTACTATCCTAGGCCCCTAATTTGCCAGGGCCTTTGCTTAAGACCCTCACCAACTGCATGGGTAAAAGCACAAGCATGGCCAGGCGCAGTGGCTCACGCCTGTAATCCCAGCACTTTGGGAGGCCAAGGTGGGCAGATCACGAGGTCAAGAGATCGAGACCATCCTGGCCAACATGGTGAAAACTCGTCTGTACTAAAAATAAAAAATTAGCTGGGCGTGGTAGCATGTGCCTGTAGTCCCAGCTACTTGGGAGGTTGAGGCAGGGGAATCACTTGAACCCTGAAGGTGGAGGTTACAGTGAGCTGAGATTGCACCACTGCACTGCAGCCTGACAACAGAGTGAGACTCCATCTCAAAACAAAAACAAACAAACAAAACCCACACAAGCATTTCTGGGAAGCTGTGGGAAAAAATAAGAGATTCACAATGTCTTCCAGAATTTTAGCTGAGAGGTGGTGGTATTATATCCCCCGTACCTCACTATACGTTTTCTGGGAACAGAGCAGTTTTACAAACGATTTGGAGCTTGGGCTTGCTTATTCCCAGCTCCTGGCAGACAGCAGTAACTTCCCCAGATCTCCTGTCTATAAAGTGGGCATAACATGTCTTTCCTCCTGGAGTTACTGTGAGGATCAAATGAAAATGTGTCCTCTAAATGCTTGGCCACAGGGTTAGGTCAGTAATAGTCATCTTCATCAGAGTGAAAAGGAATAAACTAGTGATTGTGCAACAACTTGGATGAACCCCGGAGACGTGACGCTGAGTGAGGGAAGCCAGCCTCAAATCTCAAATGGTCACATGCTGTGTGATTCCATTTGACATTCTGGAAAAGACAAAGGTATGATGATTGGGAAGAGATGATGGTGTTGCCAGAAGTTAGGATGGGTGGCGGATATGGATGTGAAGGGATCACACAAGGAAGTCTTTGGGGTATCATGAGTGCGGTAGTGGTTACATGAATGTGTACATGTGTTAAGATTCATAGTACTGGGCCAGGCATGGTGGCTTACGCCTGTAATCCCAGCACTTGGGGAGGCCAACCCCTAAGGTAGGTGGATCACCTGAGGTTAGGAATTTGAGACCACCCCGGCTAACGTCATGAAACCCCATCTCTACTAAAAATACAAAAATTAGCTGGGCGTGGTGGTGCATGCCTGTAATCCCAGCCACTTGGGAGGCTGAGGCAGGAGAATCGCTTGAACCTGGAAGGTGGAGGCTGCAGTGAGCTGAGATTGCACGATTTCACTCTAGCCTGGGCAATAGAGTGAGACTCCGTCTCAAAACAAAACAAAACAAAAACCCAGATTTATAGAACGGTACAGCAAAATAAAAAATAGTTTTATTGTATGGCAATTTTTTTTATTATTTATTTTTGAGACAGGGTCTTGCTCTGTCACCCAGGCTAGAGTGCAGTGGTACAACCACAGCTCACTGCAGCCTTGACTTCCCAGGCTCAAGCAATCCTCCTACCTCAGCGTCCTGAGTAGCTGGGACTACAGGTGTGTGTTACCACACTCAGCTAATTTTTAAATTTTTTGTAGAGATAGGGGTCTCACTATATTGCTGGAGTTGATCTCGAACTCCTGGCCACAAGCGATCCTCCTGCCTCACCCTCCCAAAGTGCTTTTAAAAATGTTAACATGCCGGGCGCGGTGGCTCAAGCCTGTAATCCCAGCACTTTGGGAGGCCGAGGCGGGCGGATCACAAGGTCAGGAGATCGAGACCACAGTGAAACCCCGTCTCTACTAAAAATACAAAAAATTAGCCGGGCGCGGTGGCGGGCGCCTGTAGTCCTAGCTACTCAGGAGGCTGAGGCAGGAGAATGGCGTGAACCCAGGAGGCGGAGCTTGCAGTGAGCTGAGATCCGGCCACTGCACTCCAGTCTGGGCGACAGAGCGAGACTCCGTCTCAAAAAAAAATAAAAAAATAAAAAAAAATAAAAATGTTAACAAACATAGTCTCTGGAGTTAAACTTGGGTTCAAATCCTGGATTTGCTATGTA